TGTTGGTTTGTCTTTCCAAATACATTCCAAAGAGATTGAATTTGAACAAAATCGCCTTGCTCAATTGAAGCTTCCCAATGAAATCTTGTAACTGTACCAACCCAACGTTCATGATGTTCCATACCAGGGACTACTTTGTAGTGGATAGGAGCAGAAGATGGTAGATAAGTAGGATAATCACCAAGGTTACCGTCAACTCGCATTGCTCCATCGCGCAAAAGCGGATTGAACTCATGAAGAGGACAATTGACAGGAATCTGTCGGAAATTGACTCCAAGACGATATCTTTGAGCATCAGGATAAGAAAACAGTCTACTCTGAAGAACAGGGTCTGCACTAGGAGCAACTCCTGGAACCATGTTAGATGGGGAAAGAGCTGCTTGCTCGACTTCCGCGTAGAAATTCTTGGGAACTTCATTTAAAGTTAACTTGCCAACTTTTTGAAGAGGGAAGTCTGCATGAGGCCAGACCTTCGTCAAATCAAAAATTGAAAATGGTGCTTTTTCGGCCTGTTCAGGAGTCATCGTTTGGATGCAAAGAGTCCAAGATGGAAAGTTGCCTTTTTCAATATTTTCATAAAGATCACGCCGATGGTGATCTGGATCATCACCAGCTAGCTTGGTTGCTTCTTCATCGCTCAAAGTTTTGAAGCCAAGGTCCGCTCTAAAATGGAATTTAACGTATACAAATTGCCCGTTCTCCTTAACTAGCTTGTAAGTGTGAGACCCGTAGCCATGCATTTCACGGTACGATGCAGGTGTGCCACGATCTGAATGAAGCAAAAAGTATTGATGAAGCGCCTCTTGATGCTCCACCACATAGGTCCAATGAGCATTAGGATCTTTTAGTCCAGTCTTGGGATTGCGCTTCTGGGTGTGAATAAAAGGGCTAAATTTCACTGGATCACGCAAGAAAAATATCGGGGTATTATTTCCGACAATGTCACAGTTTCCTTCCTCAGTATAAAATCGAACAGCAAAACCACGCGGATCACGAGCAGTATCAGCAGAGCCCTTTTCACCACCTACAGTGCTGAATCGAACAAAAACCTTTGAAGAAGTATTAGGCTGCAAAAATTGAGCACATGTATATTGAGTGACATCATGTGTAACTTCAAACACACCATAGGCACCGGTACCTTTGGCATGAACAATTCTTTCAGGGATCTTTTCTCTGTTGAAACTAGCCAAAACTTCAATAAGATGACTATCTTGAAGCAAAAGAGGGCCATTTGTACCAATTCTTTCAGTTGCGAATGGGCAAGTGACTGGGTTACCACTACCAGTAGTATAAGTAGGGACAGTATATCTTTGTGACATTTTTAAATCGTATGTTGTATTGCTTTAAATTGTTGAATTTCGATTAAAAGATGGGGTCTTCCCCTCCTTTTATATTAAAGATATTATTAATATCTGATCCCCACAAATCTCGGCTGATACCGAAAGTATGTATGATTAGGTATGTACATTCTATAAGTGGAAATCCAGAATCTAGAACTAAGAAACTATCATGGGAAATTGACCATGGCACTATTGGTCAAAACTATTTCAAAGCAAATAGTTGCTTATCCAACAATACTCATGGATAAAGTTCAAAAATGGTTATTTTTTCTTTTTTTTTTTCCTAAACCATATGGCCTCAAATTCGTTAATGATAAATTGGTCTAGACCAAACTTTAGCCATTGTTCTAGCGGTTATTTCAAATAATTACTAAATATGATTTTGTTAAGCGCCATTAACTCCATGGTACAATTCCAAAATTAGTAGCTCTAACCGATGATATGTCTGTATTTAGGAAATAAGGTATTCATAATTACTTATAAGCGTATGTAATTACATTCTTTTTAATATGATTTTAATATGATTTAATATGATTTAATATGATTTAATATGATTTAATATGATTTAATATGATTTTAATATGATTTTAATATGATTTTAATAAGATTTTAATAAGATTTTAATAAGATTTTAATATGATTTTAATATGATTTTAATATGATTTTAATATGATTTTAATATTATTTTAATATGATATTATTTTAATATGATATTATTACGATTGATGTAACATTTTTTGTAACAACCCCATTTTGAATAGTTTTAGGAATAATTTATTCATTATAGTTAATTAACGAGTAAGTTGATGAAACTATTGAGGTTTGATGTTTCTGTTATCTTTATTTAGTGAATGAATTAAATTCGTTTTTAGATGACATTTAACATAAATTTTTTCTTTTCTTTTCATAATTGTAAATTCAATTTAATTTTTTACTTAAAGAATTAAGAATATTACTCTCTTTTAATTTGATCTTTACGTTATCAAATTGTTTTATTACGCGTCTAAGTATTTTCCTATCACCGCCTATAGGGGTGTGATAATATGTCCGAAAAAATTAAGTTGGCGAAAAGAAGCCTTTTTTTATCTCCAGATGTCAAGGAAAGCTAATTCTTCTAAAAACTTAGACTGTCAGTTATCTCCTAAAATTCAAGGAGAACTTGTATCGAAACAGTTTGATTTTTTTATATCTGAAAGTGATTTGATTAGTGATGATTCTTCATTTTTTGATATTTCTCAGTGTATTGATACCTCGAACATTGCGATTTCTAACAAAAAGGCTGATGAAAACATAGAATCAAATCAAAAAAATCCTTCTTTTCTTACCGAAAATTTTTTTCAGCATGATCAAGCTCAGATCCAAGAAATTAAGAAACACACGTTATCTCATGATTGTTACGATAACTTCGACATACCTTCTGATGCTTTATTTTCTGACTTTTTTACGTTCAGTTTAAATGATGGGTTCTCTAAAACAGAAGCATGTCATAATTTGAAATCAGAACCACCTAATTCTACCCCCCCTATTTTAGATTTGAAACTAATTTCAAATTCAGTTCAAAACAGTGTGTTAACTTCACCATCAAATTCAGATTCTTTTGTGATAAACCAAAATACTAGTAATATGAAAAGTGAATGTCAACTTAAGTCTAGACAAAATCTTTATGAAAACCAAGCTGAACCCAATCTTAAGTTTTTGAATACCGGTGTTTCGTCTTCAATTCCTTGGTCAGAATCCCCTCAATATCATGTGAAATATACCGCTTACGACCTTAAAAAGATTTCTGATGAATATAAATTGAATACTGATTTAAAATCGGAAGCAATTAACGGACCAACTTTTTTGGGTGATCGGACTTCTACAAAGAACTTTACTAAAGATTTAGTAGGTAATAACAAAGTCCCTCATAAAACATCAGTTTGGCAATCTCGTTTGACCGGGTTTGTATCTCCTTTGACTGAATCTCCTGTTCAACATGAACGTTCCTATTCTACCGTAGCTCGAAATACTTCACAAGCGAAACAAGAAAAGCAGATTTCTTCGTTATTAACTTTATCCGATGAACAGAAAAGAGTTTTACATTTTATTGTTCACGAAGAGCGTAATGTTTTTTTTACTGGTGCAGCTGGGACAGGGAAATCTATTTTACTAAAACGAATAATTAATGAATTGCGTAGGAAGAACAAGTCCGAAGGTGCAATCGCAGTTACTGCCTCAACTGGTTTAGCTGCTTGTAATATTGGAGGGATAACTTTGCATTCCTTTTGTGGGATCGGTTTGGGCCGAGAACCTGTTAAAAATTTGCTAAAAAAAATTCGAATGAATAGAGGGGCTTTAAAGAGATGGAAAAATGTTAAAATTCTTATTATTGATGAAATTTCGATGATTGATGGTGTTCTTTTTGATAAATTAGAGGAACTGGCACGTCTAATTAAACGGAATAGTCGTCCATTTGGAGGAATACAAGTCATTGTAACTGGTGATTTTTTCCAGCTTCCACCTGTTTTTAAAACAGAAAGGGACTATCTTCAAAAGCAGGTAATTGATGAGAGCGAAATCCAGGGTTGTTTAGCATTTCACTCAAAAACCTGGAATACCGTTGTTGATACCACTGTTGAATTGAAGAAAATTTTTAGGCAACAAGATGACCATTTTTCTCAGATGCTCAATTCAATTCGTGAAGGGCATGTAACAAATGAAATTTCATTAAAATTTCGAGCCCTTTCACGTCCTCTTTTGGCACCACATGATATCACCCCAACAGAATTATTTCCGTTGAGACGAGATGTTGATCGTTCAAACGGAGCAATGATGCGAAGACTTCCTGGAAAAACTAGAATTTTTAATGCAGTTGACACCTACAACAACGAGTATGCTAGAGAGTATCAAATACTAAATAATTTAATATGTCCTGAAGTACTATCTCTAAAGGTTGGGGCACAAGTTATGCTGATTAAAAATATTGACGAAACTTTGGTAAATGGAAGTCTTGGAAAGCTTCTTGGATTTATGAATGAGTTCACATTCAAACTTGTTGAGAAGCTTCCAGAGGGACTTGCAAATTCGGTTATTACTGGGAAAATGACTGCCCAAGAAGGTTTAGAAACTTATTTGGATGAAGTGAAAAGTAATGAATACACAGATCCAAATTTAGACCAAACAAATATCTTACAGGGGTTGTCTCAATTAATAGATGACGACCCATACGATATTCCCGTCAATTATGAAGAAATTGATAGAGATAACAATTATGCGATTAATTGGACGAGAAAGAAGGAATTAATAGAAAAATTGAATGATAATACAGAAAAGAAAGGAATGGAATGGCCTTTTGTGAGATTTATTATGTCTGATGGAACAACTCGAGATATTTTAGTGCAAGCAGAAACTTGGGATATCGAAAATATTGATGGAAAAGTTGAAGCAAGTAGGTCACAAGTACCTTTGATGTTAGCTTGGGCTCTTTCAATACATAAATCCCAGGGCCAAACACTAAACTGGGTTAAGGTTGATCTTTCAAAAATTTTTGAATGTGGCCAGGCTTATGTTGCACTTTCAAGGGCAGTTAAAATGGAGGGACTTCAGGTAATTGGTTTTCATGATTCAAAAGTCCGAGTCCATCAAGATGTAGTGAAGTTCTATAAGGCCCTACCATCACCTCTTGAAATTTCACTTTTGGAAACTGCACATGCAAAAAAAAATAGATCTAAGAAAAGAAAATTAGAAGCTTGAATAACGCCCCGTGTTAATGTATTATTTGTAACATATATAAATTGAATTTTTTTTGAAATTTACTTCCGCTGATTCGCACCTATAGCCCAGCCTAAGCCACTGACAAACAGGTTCGATAGTTGATCACGTTTACGTGTATTAAAATGAGTAAAATTTTCATTGTCCCTTTCTAGAAACCCAAAAGAACCTGGTGAAGATGATACGGAAAGAGAGGATGCAGTGGAAGACAGTACCTTTTTAAAATTAGTGGGTATAAGTGATGGTGCAGAAGACATTGCCGCAGTTACTGTTTGATTAAAGGCACTCCCAATTTTCTGGCTATGAAATTTTTTCAATGTAGCATTCCTCAAAGTATCACATCTTTGCCATGTATGAAGTATAACTGGAATCTGTTCTTGGGGGCAGATTTTAAGAGAATAGGCTAGTGCATTCATCTTTTTATCAATTATATCGATTGGTATGTCAGATTCCCAAAAAGGGGAAATATATTTACCAATTTGAAAAAGAGACGCCCATGATTCTGTTTCCTTGGATACAATTTTTAAACCAAAATCATCTACTGTTGAAGCATTTTCTTTTTGGTTAGAAGTAGTTGAAGTAGAAACAAGATGAGGGATTGCAAATTCATAGGCTTTTTCAAAATTTGAATCCACTAAAGCTGCTTCAATACACATTTTTCTGACTTGAAAAGAAATACTTTCATTCAGCAAATCTAAACTATCAAATTTTGATGAATTAAAGTTATGGCTAGTTCCAACATCATTTTTTTCTGTGCTGCTATAAATCAAATTTTTCAAAATAGATACAAGTTTATCATAATCCAGATATGCCTTAGAATTGAGTTCCAGAACGCGATATATTAGCTCAAATTTGTTAGGGTAATTTCGTATCTGTTTTGGAAGCATAGGCATGTTTTGTGTATTACTATTTTGAGAAGAAAGATATAATGTGTATTTTGACAATTCGTCAGTGGCCGATAATAATGCTTCAGCACGATATATTTCATCCTCATTATCTTTAAAATTTTGAAGAAGTTTTATGCACTGAACAGCATTTTTCATTGACCCACGGGTTTTATTTCCATTTGTTGCAGAATCAAAAAATAAATAAAATGTAGAAATAATCGATGTCTTTATTTCTGTCAATGGTAAAGAACAAGACCTAGAAAAAAATTGTTTCTGGACAAAAGTAAAATTCCCCGAAGAAAGTGCACCAGTTAGTAAAATTTTATCAATCCAAGAGTCTGATATTTTGGAAAAGATATCACTTTGAAGCCACTTCAATGATTCATATATTTCACTCCAGTTTTTTTCATCAAAGCCCTTCCAATCAAAATTTTCTTTTTTGTACTTTGGAAAAAGGCATTCCTCAATTAATACTCTTTGTTCTTTTTCAGAACCAATAACTGAAACTAATAAAACATTAATTAGAGGGACGTTTAGTAAAGATGCAGAATGTAAGATTTTTTCTAGAAATTTCAACGAATAATCAGATAATTTTGTCAAAGGAGATTTTAAAATTTCATCAAAACCAAGTGATTTGTCGTTTAGAATAAAAGCTAGTTCATTTGTGGTATCTTTATCTCGTATATGTCCCTTTAAAAGCATATGAATCGATTTTAATAAATCATAGGATTTCTTTGATGTTCCTCTGTGGAAATACAAAGCCGCTATAACACACCTTAAAAATTGATATTGAATTGAACATTCTTTTATACCTCCATGACGAATTAATGATTCTAGAAGCTCTAGATGGTTAACAGAATCTGTATCAGAGCCAATCCATTTCCATAAAGCATATTGAGCATCATAAAATGAAATGTACGGTATTACAAGATCATTTATATCTCGAAATATATTATCATCATTAGAGTATTGAAGAAGAAAAGGAACTACTTTTTCCGGATGAGCACATTCAAACTCATATAACGATATCCAAGGCTGATTATGAGAGGAATAATACTTTCTAAAATTACTCAATACATCAACAGAGCTGGATTTCCATTGAAACAATTCTTCAAAATCATTTTCTTCTACAAGAAGAAAATCTAAATTGAAATCAAGCTGGCGTTTAGCAGCGTCATTATTGCGGATATAACATTTTATAAAAGTATACAGCAAAACTTTCGCATCATCAACAAAGTTTAAAGGAAATATTGGATATTCCCATCCAATAGATTCAATTCTAGAATAAACATATAAAGATATATCCTCAATAAAAGTAGAAGTTGTCACATTCACCAAAATATTGGGCAAATTAGTAATTGCCTTAATGAGCTTAAAATTGTTTTTAGTGTGCAAACCTTCAGGTAAAAAGCATAGCAGAAGGGCGTAAGCAGCGCATTTAGATAAATTTTCTTGATTAGAAAGTACCAGTGAAATAAGTGAGTCTATTTCGCCTTTACTTGCAAAATCAGCAAATGCAATATGAATATCGAAAGACATGACTGATAATCTTTTATTAAGTGGAAGAAATGGACAACTAAATATAAATTAAATCATAAGTTTAAGTAACAAACAGACGCACAAATGCATAATTTCAAAATGTGTGGCTACTGCAGCTTCGGTTTGTCTTAACAGTGTCGTCAGTATTTTTAAGTTACATAATCCATGAGTCAGATTTAGTTAAAAATATTTGACCAAAAAATGGAAAATTTTTAAACAAGTTACCAAATATTAAACATTATGAAGGCTAAACTTGATATAAGTGTTATTTCTAAACAACATGGTAATCTTCAATCCTCAACAATCAACAATCAACAATTAAAAATTAGAAAATCCTTTGTCAAAGTCTTGAGCTTATCAATTAAATAGACTATTTTTAGATGCTATTAATTTTAACATAGTTATTTCCCAGTTTGTTAAACTTCACTAAATCCCAATAAAATCTGTCCATATAATCACCCAAAATCCAGTGCTTAAAAGCATTTTAAATATACACCGAAAAACAATTATGACCACTCTTCAACAAGAAGGTATGAAATTGAGATTTTTTTATAATTATAAATTATAAATTGTAGGTTATTAACACTATCAATAAAAGAATCAACTATTAGACAAAGAGTTTTAATCTCGGAACAACATTACAAACGCCTATCTAAGTTATGTTCAGTTCTTATAAGTTTGAGAGCACCCACTAAAGAGCAAATTCAAGATCTTCGCGAGCTTATTTTATTGGAAACCGAGGCATATAAAGCCATGTTAAAAAAACTTCAGCTTCAAGCTAATGCAAACCAACAAGAAATTCAATATTACCGAAAAGAAATGCAACTTTCAGAGCAAAAAATATCGCGCCTTTCTGGAAAAACAAAAAATCTTCAACACAAGTTGCAAACTGCAGAATTAAAAAGAAGCAATAATGAGGAATATTCTAAAATTGTTGATGAATTTTTGAAGCCACGAAAGATAAATATTAAAAAAAAACATTTAGATTATGATTCTTACGAAGGGTTATCTATTCAGAAAAATAAAGAAAAAATTTCTTTAGATATGAAACAAAAAATAAACTCTGATTCAGATCCATACGAAGTGAAGTTGGTTATTTTGGATACGTCGAGAAAAGATTTTATTTTACAAAACCAACATCTCAAATCAGAAATATCAGATCTTGAAGTACTACAGTCTATTTATCATAATATTTGGGACCAAAGAAAGAAAAATTTTGAGTCTTTCATCCAATCTTTAGATCAATTTAAAAGAAACATTTTGGATGACAATATGGAAATTGACACAATAGAAAACGCCCATGTTGAATAGAAGTTTTTAGTATAATATATTCTATAGGTAATGATTTTGTTTAGAAAGAATTTCTAAAATATTTGTTTTTGGATCAAAAGTTCAATATTAGAATTTAGAAAAATTTAATTTCACTCCAAGCTTTCTTCGAAATTGGGAGTTACAGCTAGTGGGTGTTGTTTGAAGATCATCAGAATTATTAAAATTGACATTGGTAGAAAAACAGTCTCTTTTACCTTTACAAATATTTTTTTTTTTATTATTTACCCCATTTGTGCCGGGGTTAGATAATTCAAAACAAGAGTAGCTTTTCGAAGCATTTACCAAAGGAGATTGGTCTAGTGCCAAACTGGGACTAACATCTTTCGGCTCGGTAACATTATCATTATCATCATCAGTATAATCCATAAAAGAAAGTTTCAATCTTGATAGCTTATCAGAACTAAAAAGTTCTGATTGTGTTCTAGAAAGTTTCATAGAGCGTCTGAAACGACCCATTTCACGTTCACATGCAACCTTGTGAGAATTATCATTCATTTCAACGTATTTTTGTGGGTAACATCTCATATTAAATTGAGAAAAAAATAGTGAATATCCTCCAGAGAGAATTGCAATATCGGGATAATGTAAATATGGGTATCGATTAATATTCCGCTTTCTATCTATATTGCGTAAATGCATAGCCATTCTGGGACCGCGATGCGAAGAATATTCACAATGAAATATTAATAAAACGCGCTCATTAACAGGAACATTTGAAAAAAGAGTTTCTTCCAAAGTTTCAGTACTATTAATATTAATAGCACCTTCGATATGACCACCATTAAACTCATATTCAAATCGGCAATCTATTATTAAATATCGCTCATAAAGACCACTGTAAATACCATCCATAATCTTGCAAAGAGTTTCGGGATCCATCCTTTTAAACTGATCTTCTTTCACGTTAAATGTTTTTATTGGACAGTCCTTCATGTTGAATACAGAATTATACTCTGTAATAGGGGTTCTAGGAGAGGGCGAAGCATTTTCATTGACGACAATAGAATCCTTAATATCATCTGCAAAAACGTCTTTTGGATGTTGAAACATCGAATGAGTTCGGCGAACCTTACAATTCCTTGGAAGTAGTGGAGTGGCTGCAGTAACAAAAGGATTTAAAAGGTGATTAACATCCATTGGAATACTTTCTGTAAGCGAAGGTTGAATAAAAGACTTGTTTTTAGTTTTTATCATGTGTGTATTTTCATGGGAATCTTTTAGATTTTTCGGTTTGGTATCTACATTATCTTGAATATTTGCGTCCATCAAGGGTGAAATAGTAAATGATGCTTTAGATGGACCTGGATGGTTAATCAAACCAGACCTCATTAATGGATTATTTTCATTACTATTGCAAATAGGAATCCATGAAAGAGTTGGTTTAGAGCTAAGTAAAACAGCCGGATTTGGAGGAAGTACAGACTTCACAGACTTATAATTCGATTTTGTTGGAATAACTTTTTCATGTTCAATGCCCTTTGTCGAACACGATGAGGAATATGAAAAATAGGAATCAGTTGATGCTATCGAAAATTTTGATGTGACAGGTGTTAGGTTTGATATAGATGTCATGGAAGTTATTTGTTTCAACGATTTCAATGGTTTCAATGGAAATTTATTACTGGAATCATTGTTTTTATTAGCGAATTGCTCTTCCAATAGTGAACAAGCTGCTAGAGACGATGAGTTATCACTCTCCATATTTACGTCATAATCTTCTGCATAAAATTGTTCTTCAAAAGAGGGATGAAGTTTTTGATTTAAAAACAGCTCTTTATCAGGTATAGACAGAATGTTGATAGAGGGGTGTTTCAAAAAGGAAACACCAGAATTTTCAAACTCAATATTATTTAAAGACCTCATTTCTGAAAAAGCATTTTCCCCATTTGCCGTTGATCTCTTAGAGTCCTTCTGTGTCGAAAAATTGGTTCTAGACATCTTTAGCAATTGAAATTAAAATGTAAATATTGCAATTAATATAATGAGGGGAGAAAAAAAAAGAGAATCATGCCAAAATGTCTTTAAAAAAGTATTATAAAACGAACTGAATTTATATGATCAAAGTATTTGAAATGCAAACTTTTGTTATTTCTAATTAGAATATGATGGCAGTCTATGCTACTTGAAACTAAGAAGCAGTGTAGATAACATTTAATGTGGAAAACCAAATTCGAAATTCAAAATAAATGTGAAACTAAACCAATGTTGTTTTTGGTAGCTTACATAATTAATAATACTGTGCTTTGTTTGTTATGTCTTAATTAACTTATAAGTCAATCTGAGAATAAAGCTTATTACCCCAATAGCTATGAGTCAAAGAATCTGGTAACTGATTTAGGCAATTCAACATTTAACCAGTCAATAACTTTAAATGAATTGTTTCAATTTAATGACAAATTAAATATTTTTTCTATTACTACTTTATTAATAATTCAGTAAAGTCATTTAATTAATTTCTTTTAGTACTAAGGCATATATATTAATGTGGGGTCAACTACTCAATCTTCAAAAAATTTATGAATTATCTATCACTAAGGAGTGATTTCTTTTGCCATCAAGATAATGAGTTATTAAAGTGTATATTAATTTATTAATTTACTTTCCTTTAGTTTTTTCTGTTGCGGTTACATCTTTAGCAATCAAAAAAAGAAAAAGCTGTAACTTTTGAGATATAATGAAACTAAGAAAACAGTCAAGCAATCCAATCATGAATAAATATTTAATATTTGCAATTTCAAATATCTCTCTGATACCAAAATCATCATCCATACTATCCAATATTATAACGCCATCAATAATAAGATCAACCCAACTATTAAGAAAATTACTTATAAAGTTGTTAATGAGACCTTTATGAAAGCTGTTTATGGAAAGAACAGGTGTTGGCTCTAAGGAAACAATATTTTTAGAGCAGGGAAACGAGAATAAATAAGAGCTCCATGAAAAGTTTTTAATGAGTAGTCTTAAATTCCAAAAAAAAATTTCTTTTCTCATAAAAAAGATAGACCTTGATATTTTTGGTCTTATCAATGTCATAATTTTATTTTTCTTAATGGTATTAAACTCTAGTTTCCTAAAGGTTTCAAATATTGGGAAAAGAAAGATACAACGAATATCCAATAAAAAAATATCATTCAATAATTTGGGTAGTGAAAAATCATTTACCTGAAAAGTAAAATACATATCCAGTGCATTATAAAAAAATTCTAACGGATAATATATCAAATTATTAAACATTCTTAATTTAATATTTTTTTCTTGAAGTTTTTGAAGGGGGGGGAATGTTATATAAATTGGAAAAATTCTGGCGAATTTTGAAATGATGAAAGACGAAATTTTATTAAGTGTGGATGCACTCAATAGTATCATATTTAGAGACAATTTACCAATCCCAATGGTGGGTATATAATCCAAAAATTTTATAACTTCTTTTTGGCGAATAAATTCATTACTATAAAAGGGGTTTTGAACGATTTTTTTCCATAAAAATGAAGATTGAGATCGTGACTGATGATTTGATATGAGACCTAAAGACTTTAAAATTTGTAGCTGAGATACGGAATCAATATCATAGTTTCGTTTTTCAATTTGATACAAAAATTCAGCATCATTCAAATCTTCCACAAACGAAGGACCCAACGAGGTTCTTAAAACACGCTTCGTAATCATTTGAAGTTATTATATTCTAATAATTTTAAATTAACGTGCTCTTTTGAAGAGTAATCACTTAAAGTGGATAATGAATTTAAACATTTTACTTGAAGCGTCATTTTTTGTACACAAATTTATAAACAAACTGAAAAGAGAAACAGTTATGGCTACTCAAAGTCATGTGAATCAGACCAAGACAGAAGACAGGTTTCAGGTAACTGAAATCAGCCGTACTTATTTGAAATGGATAAGAACGGCTGTTGCTTTTTTTTTTTTGCTGTAGCTTTTCATGAATGTTCATTTGATCAAAATTACGTATTGTCACAGGGTGCCTCTGAGCCCCATGACCTGAGTTGTTAGGGTTGCGTTAGCCAAGTGGCAACACAACCAAAGATTAAGAGGTATCACTATCACAATCACAATCACAATCACAATCACAATCACAATCACAATCACAATCACCACCATCAACATAGCAGAACAAGATAACACTTACTAAGAGGGAACTAGGTTTATCTTAAGATCAAAGGTACGATAGATCGGGAAGCTGATGGAACCTGGGATTACTAATATATGTAGACTATCACCCTTAATCAATAACTATAAATTATAATCAATTACAACCAATTTACCCCGAGAACACGACAAATAGTCTTTGATCCTCAACTACGAATGATAGAGCTGAACGGTCAACTAATTTACCCACAGAACTGTGGGTGGGAGATATGGAAGGCAGACAAGTAAAGAGTCCGAAGTCAACGATTAGACAATCGACCTGGGAAGAAGTGGCGCTATGGGGTCCAGAGTGAGAATAGAATCGGCAGCAACGATGGCGACGGACCCTGTGGACAACGATCCGGGTGGAGCAATCCTGGAAAAATACAGCAAATTCAAGGAAACAGTAATTTCACAAGAATTGGCGGGACTGGGTTCTACATTCCAGTGGGGCGACTAGATAAAGAGTGAGTTCCGGATTCAACAACAGGCTGCAGAGTACCGGGGGCACTACGGAACAAGTGTAGGAGTCAATTGGATCGGATGGTGAACGAGGGGGGACTCTCGATGCCAGATCCACGGACTCTATACGTTTTCCTATTCATGTGTTTAAGAAAAGAGAATGGAGGTCTACGGATGATCGCAAATCTGCGTGAGTTTAATGAACACGATAGACGGCAACCTATAGATTTGATGAAAATTGAAAATACTCTAGGGATAATACATGGAGCTATTCTACACATATATAATGTGGCCCCCATGGGGTTCCAGAATAGTCCAGTGTAATGACAAAGATATTTGCATCAAATGCTAGAAGGGTTTGTAGGTGTCAATTGTTGTTATACATTGACGATGTGGTAATTTACACCAGTGGACCCGTGCATAGCCTTATGAAAGTCGTTAGGGGCGTGTGGAAACGGTTAGCAGAATATAGGCAGAGTTAAAATTCAAGGAAATGCCAGTACGTGGTGACAGACTTCGAGTACTTCGGGTACCGAATTTGTGAAAGCAAGATATTTCGGCTGCCTAAGCACGTCAACGCATTTAAGGAGTGGCCATTCCAAGGGCAGTGAAGCAAGCGGGGCGAACTTAGGGAATGGCCAATTGGTTTCGGAGATCAGTCATCAATTTTGCAGGGGTCACCGAGGTGATACAAAGGGTATTGGAGGCTGCGAAAACGAGTGCGAATGCCGAGAGAAATTCCCAGACCGAAGATGGTTCCTATCAGACGAAAAGAGGCATTAAGTGGTCAGGTGAGGCACAGAAAGAGTTTGAACATCTGAAGACATTACTTTCAGATGGTTCATATTTGTGGATTTTTGACCCAGCACTACGAACAGTGCTACATACTGACGCGTTGCTTTCGGTGTGGGGGCAGTGTTGTTTCGATTGGATGAAAAAGTAGGGAGAAAGATCATTGGTTACTACAGCCATCGCAATACGGGACCGGAGACAAGATACAAGGCATATGATCACAAAAATCCTGGCGACTACAATTACAGTAGGAGCGATGACGACGAAGAGCCACAGGCAAAGGGATACGCTCTGGCAAGTCTACAGAGATTTATTCGTCCGTTTAATGGGGGGTCTTCACTAGGGTAAGGATTTTCGATCTCAAATCCTCGTGCAGCTGGCTCCCGACAATGCCTTGTGACGACGTAGAGCTTGAATCTTTAATTAAACTGAACGGTTTTGCTATTCAATAGAGCTTGGTGAAAGCCATATGAACACCATTGACAATAATTTCCATACGATATTGATCAATAGTGAGCAATTTCCTGTAGTTGGAGATAGACATGACAATTTCAATTTGTCAAATTTTTTTAAAATTGGCTCCTTTTATATAACACTTCACAGAGTAACTTCTATATTGTGAAAGAAGTCCAATCATGGTAAAAACAGCGGTTGCATGGGTGCACAAATGAATGAACAAGATTCAAAGAGGCAAGTTGACCTAATAGCCATGAGTATGAGTATGCTCGAAATCTCTAGCAGAGGTTCCAAAACATCTTCTAAGGATATCCAAGCGGGCTCTTTTCAATAAATTTACCTTTTGTAAATTTTATCGTGGTAGAAAAGTACGCAAAGATATACTAAAAACCCAGTGTTTTAGAGGATTCTTCATTTAGAACAACAGTAAGTAGGTAACATAGAACCTCTAGTTGTGCAACTTTAAACTCGCAAAACTTGGCAAGAACTATTTGTGGTAGTTCAAACCAGAAATAGCAACCTGTTGAATACCGAGTGCTGGGATCTGTAATAGTGGTTGCGAATTATTAAGGAGGAGTGGTAATTGATTTTGGGCACAGGATATTGGAAATAAATTTGGTGTTAAATATGTGTGGCTGGATTTTGAGATAAAAATAGGATGATTTGGAGGAATGTACAACTCGAAGAAAGAGAAAAAAACTAATGAATAATAATTAGTCATCTCGTAGTAACGAGCTGGTTTTTTATTTTGCGAAACCTAAAGGAGAGAATTATTACAGATATTGATAGATGTTACTAATTACTAATTACTAATTTTCTTTTGTATTACACATGTTGACTGTTCTCTTAACTTAAAAAATTATATAATCAAAGCATTTTCGCTTACTTCGAAAATTTTTTTTAGATCAATACATAAATAAGTAATTCAAAAAATTGTTCAAGCTAACAATGTTTAGTAACTGAAAATGACTGAGGATAAGAAGTTATTAAAATCAAAATTTGAGCCTTTCTCTATCGAGCCTTTTTTCAGCGGTGGAAAAGCTTCCATTTCAGCTGATGGGATTATCCTTGCCACTACAGATGATTCAGAAGTTGTTGTTACTAATTTTGAAACTGGTAAGAGAATTGGTAGAATTCGGGGAGTAAGTAATATCATCAATTTCCCATAATTTTATTGAAGATAAGCTGACAATACTTTTTAGGATGGAGAATCTATAACTACACTTGATATCACCCCAGATGGATCTTATTTGATAACATGTTCTAGATCTTTACAAATGAAAACATATAAACTACCCAGTTGCGAGTTACTACGAACTACAAAGGCTCATGAATCACCAGTAATTGTAATGTGTGTTGATTCAACTTCGACTTTGGTTGCTACAGGAGGGGCTGAAGGATCGGTGAAAGTATGGGATATAGAAGGCGGGTATGTAACGCATAGTTTTCGTGGACATGCTGGTATGATTAGCGCTCTTAAATTTTGGGGAAATCAAGGATCTAGTAAGTGGTTTTTAGCCTCTGCTTCTGACCAAGACAATAAAATCCGTGTTTGGGATTTAGTTAAGCGAAAGGGAATAGCATTATTTGAAAACCATGATTCTGTTATTAGAGCTTTAGATTTTTCGGAAGACGGAGAAACGTTAATATCTGGTGGACGGGATAAAGTTATTAATTTGTGGGATATGTCAAAGTTAAGGCTTCTAACTACTATTCCAATTATGGATACAGTAGAAACCGCTGGATTTCTCAAACCTGGGATTTTGACTGATGACAAAACGGAACAGATAATATTTGCTGGTGGAGAAAAAGGAGAAACAAGCTTATGGAGTTTAAAACGAATGAGAAGAATTGCAATTTCTCCTCATAGGCAAAAAAACACAACAGAAGAAACTTCGATCACAGAAATAATTTACAAACCTGGTATTGACTTATTCATTTCAGTTCTTTCGGATGAAACCTTTCTTCAACTTTCGCTCGAGTCTTTAGATTTAAATGTAATTCGAAGAATCGGTGGAAATCATGGACAAATTATAGATTGCACTTTTGTTGGTGATAATGATCAGTGTTTAGCAATTGCAACAAATTCTCCAGAAGTTCGAATCATAAGACAGGAATCTTTGGACCATTCTGTTTTAGCAGCTCATACAGGGATTGTAATGTCTATTGATAGATCTTTTGATGGACTTTGGCTTGGAACCGCTAGCAAGGACAAACATGCTAGACTATGGGATCTTAGTGAAATACTTAATGGAAACAAAGATATGTTGGAGGATAGTTTTACAATATTTTCAGGTCATCTCGATTCTGTGGGAGCAATAGCGTTACCAAGAACACCAACAATAAGGGATAACCAATCTAGTGTTCCGCCCCCGAGCTTTGTCATTACAGGATCACAAGACTTGACTGTCAAAAGATGGTCAGTTCCAAGAAAAAGAGGTGAAATTGCGAAAGCTATATATACTAGAAAAGCTCACGATAAAGATATTAACGCTATTGATGTTTCACCAGATAACAAGATGTTTTCTACTGCAAGTCAAGATCGAACTGCAAAGGTATGGGATCTTGAAACTGGAGAAATTATTGCAAAACTTTCGGGTCATAAAAGAGGTGTGTGGTGTGTCAAGTTTAGTCCTTATGAAAAAATCATTGCCACAGGCAGCGGCGACATGCATATAAAAATTTGGAGTTTGGGCGATTTTAGTGTGTTGAAAACTTTTGAGGGACACACGAATTCAGTTTTAAATTTATCATTTTTGACATTTGGTGAGCAACTTGCTAGTTCAGGTGCAGATAATTTAGTTAAAGTTTGGGATATTAAAACGGGCGAATGTAATGCTACCCTTGATTATCACAAAGAAAAAGTATGGTGTCTTGCTTTATCTGACGACGACAAAACTTTGGTTTCCGGTGGTGGCGACGGGATCATTACTTTTTGGACTGATGTTACTGAAAAAAAAATTCAAGAAGAACGAAATAACCAAAATGAGCTTATAATGAAACAACAGCAATTGGATAATTATGTTTTAATGAAAGACTGGAAAAATGCCATTGTGTTAGCTCTTTCTCTAGACCAACCTTATCAAGCTTTAAAGCTTTTCACGCAGATTCTTGAGAATACCTCTGAACCAAATAGTATTACTGGATTAATAGCAGTAGATAAGGCTATTGCAACACTTAGTGACAATGAACTTCTAAAAAAACTTCTTCTCAGAGTTCGCAATTGGAATACCAATGGTCAAACATCACTTGTCGCTCAAGCTATTTTGAGCACTATATTATGTTATTACGGTATCGACGAATTGTGTGCTATTGACGGTGTCTCTAATCTTATTGAAGGATTGATACCTTATAGTGAAAAGCATTTGATTCGAACTAACGAAATGATTGAAGAAAGTTATATTGTTGATTATGTTTTAGAGATGATGGACTCGATTTAGAATGTATTTTTTCTTATATTGATTAGTATATATAAATTTAACAGTAAATGTTAGAATAAGTTATAACTTATTCACTATAATGGTTTTGTTGGAAAAAGCTTTTGAATCCAGTTTTCCTAGATCATATTTTTGTTTTACGCCCATTTATCACGGGAAATTTTTTGGTTATTTCTAAAGAAACACGCTCCAGTTTAAGACTAGAGAATTTAAATTAAAGCTGACGTAACTTAAGCTGAAATTTTATCATAATATACCTGTTAATAAAATAACTTAATTTTTTTTACCAAAATGCTTTTAAACAGATCTGTTTCGTCTAGTCGAGTAGTGAGAAGGCTAGTGGTATTTGTATTTTTATCACATGACCAAATGCCAAACTGGAGCCGTTATTGTACAACAAGAGAGAAAAAAACTTTACATAAGATAACCTTGCAACGGTAAGTAGCTTTGCTTAACAAGATATCCACTTTTGCAGGTTAGGTTTTTCAGCTTTATTTATTTACATTGTTAATTTTTAATTAAACTTGAAAGTAACCAGCATTCGACTAATTCCTGCAGACCTTAGGTATACAAAATTCATAACAAATCAGAACTCATCTTTAAATGTCGGCTGAAGTTATCAAAGTTTGGGCATCTGGTAATTCAGATAATCTATTGAAACTTGCACGAGATATTGAAGAAAACGATTCATGGCGAGGATTTTTGACAATTCAGGAACATGATATTTTTAAGTACGCTTTAGATCAAGGTGGGGATGTCTGGCACGAATTCATTAATGGAAATGTCATATGCAGACTCGAGCAACACCAATTAGACGAAGGTTTAAGTAAATCTAATGAATCGAAAGAGCGGCTTGAAAAAAAATTGCGTTTATCTAAAAACAATCCATTGCCAAATATCTCAACCACTGTTTATACAAATACCTTAATCCACCCAGGAAATACGCTTTCTGATATTAAAAATTCACTTGATTTAATGCAAAATTTAAATGAAAAAAAAGAGTACTTAAATCGCCGCTTATTAAATCTTGATCCTGTTACGGTGGCGTTTAGGGTTCGTTATATGCTTTATGAAAAGTCTATACAACTGATATATCCTTCTCCAGACCCTGAAGTTTCGCCTGATATTGATTACAAAATATTTGAATCAGGCCAATTAAATAACAATAATTTTCACACTTGTGCTCAAGGTCTTAACCTAAAACCAAAATTACAAGTAAAAAGAACAATAGATGATGATGATGATTATGATGATGATGATGATGATGATGATGATGATGATAGCCAAAATGATGACATACTCGATTCAAATAGTAATACTGTCCCAAAGCCTTTTATTCTAGACCCATCCGGAAAACATATTATTACTAGTGAGTATTTTTGAGTATAAAAACTGAAAATGATTAATTTATCTAACTAATATCTTAAGTTCCGAACCGAATACCTACAGAAGAAGATCTAAACCGTCGTCGTGATGCATTTCGTATAACGATTGATAGAATTTATCATATTTTTGAAGACGATGAAGACAACTTACAAAAACAACAAAAACTCGAAGAATCAGATCGTCAAATTGAGTCTGATATATTAGATTCTAGCTCAAATTTAGGGAAATCAAATACTCAAACACCGACATTTGGTGCTGCTAATTTGAGTCTTAAAGTATGTGAAATTAATTTTTTTTTAACAGAATTGACTGACAATAATTTATAGCACTTATTATCTGCTATTCAATCTAAACAAGACGATTTAAATATAACTGAAAGAGAACTTAGTAATTTATTGTCTGACGTCAGAAAGAATAGGTCTAAGTGGGCTAGCGAAGATAAGATTGGGCAAGAGGAGCTTTATGAAGCAGCGGAAAATGTGGTTCAAAAGTTAAGAGCAACTACAGAACATTCGACTGCTTTTTTAAATAAAGTCAATAAAAGAGATGCACCTAACTATTTTAGTATTATTAAACATCCTATGGATCTTAATACTGTTATGAAAAAACTTAGATCATTTCAATATCAATGTAAAAAGGATTTCGTTGATGATTTAATGTTAATATGGAATAATTGTTTAACTTATAATACTGATCCGAAACATTATCTACGGCATCATGCAATCGAGATGAAAAATAAAACATTGTCACTAATACCATTAATTCCTGACATTACAATTCGAGATCGTTCGGAAGTAGAGGCTGAAGAAGCTAGAGCTCATCAACTAGAAGAAGAAAGTGACGAAGAGGTTAGAGGTGATATAGGAAAACATTCTACAAAAGGAAAAAAAAGAAAACTTCATCATGAAATATCAACTCAAGATAATTACGAACTTAATGGAGCAAGTAATTTGACGACAAAAATTCAAACACCAAATGTCGAAACACCTAATCAAGAGACATCTTCATTTGATCCATATACTGCCTACGATCAAAACACAAAGTATGATCCAGAGTTGAATTTTGGGAATTTAGAGTCTCTTTTATATCAAGAAATCTTTGGAACTCAAGCCCTTAAATATGTTTCAAAAAGATCGGAACTTTTTAAAAATAATCATTTACAAATAGAAAGCCCAGCGTTGATAAGAGACCCTAGAGCTATGGGTAAATTTGAAGAAAATGAACTTGATGCCTTTAAGACGTATGAAGCAAAAGAGGAAGCAAAAGCTGCCCGGAACCCAATACATTCACAAAGACGACTAATTGAGTCAGTTGAAGATTTAGAAATTGGGAAAAACGGTCTTTTGGTTGAATATAATACATCATGTGGATTGCCCGAATTTCCATGGAATATATCAGTTCATAGTAAAGATGAAGGTCTTTCTAACGTTGCTTACCAAAATATTAGTGATTCGAGTTATGTTACTCGAGATGGTCTTTCTAAAGTAATACTTTCAAATTTGGAAGAGATACAAAGCATTAGAAAAATTTGTTCCAAAGTTGAGCTGATTCGTCAGATGCAGCAACAAGTTTATATGCATACCAATCAGTTCAAGCCATATACTATTCAAAAAATTATTGAAGAGGATGTTGATTTTGAGTCTCGCCTTCCGAATCGTGATAAATATGATAAATTTGCTTCACGGGCAGCGTTGAGAAGAAATGTTGCAAAAATAGTCATGCACACAGGCTTTGAAGAAACTGAAATGATGGCTATCGATGCTTTGACTGAAATTTCTGCTGATTACCTTTGTAAATTAGGTAGAAGTATTGTTCAGTGGCTGGAGTCAAATAATTCTAACGATTTGACGTGTGAAAACATGATTTTGACTGTACTAGAAGAAAGTGGAATTGAAAGTTTAAATGATCTTGATTCTTATATTCATGATGATGTGGAAAAGCACTCACAACGGCTATTAGATCATAAAAAGAAGTTAGCATGTTTTCTAGCAGATCTTTTAAGACCAGCAGTAGAATTAACAGATGGCGAATTTAATGATGGAAGTGAGCAGTTTATTACAGGCGATTTTTCTGAAGAAATTGGAGAAGATTTTTTTGGATTTAAAGCAATGGGCTTAGAAGAAGAGCTTGGATTAACTTCTATGTCTGTTCCTCTTCATCTTTTACAAAATCGATCATTTAGTTATAACTTTCATAATAGTCAGACCATGCTCAAAAGCCATTTGTCTCAGGTTCCAGAATATGATGTTATCGATGTGAAGGTTGCTGAAGACCAACTCCCACAAATTAAAATTTTGCTTTTGAAAAAACTAGAACTTGTTTCATGTGTAACTACCCTTGAAGATGGTCGAACGGTTTTACTTGAAGGGGATCAACTTCCACCGAAACAACGTAATGTACGACCAAAAGTGCCCCCTACCGGTAAACTTTCTGGAATTAAACGAAAATCGCCATCCAAAGTATTTTTCTTACCAGATAAATCTAAAGATGAAGAGAAAGTTTTATTAGGTGATGACTCAAAGCAATAAAGAAACGCTAAATATGGCTCAAAAACATAAAATTAAAATGAAACGTTTACCCAAAAAAAAATTAGATAAATAATTTTTCATGGGATTAACGGCTATTTAAAGCATCTTTTAAAATACAAAGAAATGAAATTTATAAAAGATCACCCTACACTAACTTAGGAAGTAAAAATCTAGTACTGAATTGTCTTGAATCAATTAGGCCAGTTATCAACTAAGCTACTTTTTGAGCTAGTAGATACAGTTATAAAGTAAGTATTTTTTTTTTTTTTTGGAAATACTTTAATATGAGAATTCTTTGTAGAGTATTATATATCTTCAATGATATAGCATAGACTTATTGGACAAGTATTTTAAGAAATTCGTTAAGTAGTTTCGGCATATTCAACAGAAGCATTTAAAAAAATTGGATCAATTTTGCTTTCCAATAAGTAAGCAAAATAGTTATCATCATTTCCTTTTTTAATAGAGATATATAGTTTGTCATTATCATCGACGGACGTTAAACTGTACATCTTAGACGATTTAAACATTTCATCTATGTTCTGATGAGAATCTTTAAAATTAATGAGAATTAAAATTAGCAATAAGATTGAAACACTCTCTTTATTTTCGTTAAAAGATATATTTTTTTGATCTTCATTTTTGAATTTAGGAAGTTTAAATTGATTTTTTAATTTTTCGGAAGTGTTATCGTTCAAGCTAATCTGTTTTGTAATATCAATAATAAGTTGAAGAAATTCGGTATAAGATAAGAGGCTGATCGATGTCAACTTATTCTGAATGAAGCCGATAATGTTAAGATAAAACTTTGTGAAATCTTCGAAATTTGATAGAAACTTAAAAAATTTATCACTGTTAATCGAAACAATAAATTTAACATTTTTGCTAGGAAAAAATGCCCCTTCATCTAGCATTTTAGACTCATGATTTAAATTCACTGGTATAGTAAAAAGTTGATGTTGATTATGAGGAGAAAGCTTTTTGCAAACGATTTTGTTTGGATCTGCCTTTTTTGAAGGCACAAAAATCGGAATTTCGCATAGCTTTTGAGTGTAAATAGCCATTTGATAATGACAGCTTCTAAGTTCTTTTATCCATGCAATAGAATCTGTTTTAGAGTCTTCAGAGCAGTAAAATTGAACTTCTATGGTTCTTTCAGAACCAGTTAATTCACATAATGTTCCTTGCTTAAGAGAATATATAAGATATGGAACAACACCCGTTGTTTCAATTCGGATGTCTTTTTTGTTGTGTGAAATTGCATTTTCAAGTTCTATAGGATTTCCCGATTTAAGAAACTTTTTATCTTGAAGAACATCAGAATTTTTCTTTAAACTTTCAAAACTGCCAAGTGTATATACTATAGATCCTTCGTCGGGTTTTGGTACACTACTTCCTGAATCACTTTGATGAAACTGCAGGATATCTTTACCATAACAAAAAGAACAGGTCCACCAACCCCATCGGTAATAAAGGCACTGATTTGATAGTGATTTAAGAGAATAAATAGCCTTTTTCTTAGTGTCTAGAAAATCTTGTTCATTTATCCTGAGCTTATCTTCAGATGCCTCAACTTCCTCAGGTAATATGTTTCTGTCAAATTCCGGCGAATGAATTAAATCTAAAATTGAACTTTCATTACTTGAGACTAATGGAATAAGACATGAATATGATTGATTCTTCAGAATTATCTCTTCTTGAATAAAATTGTCATTTTCTACAATATTTTCATCAGCACTAATCTCTATCAGGTATTCGGGTTTTAAATTATCATATAAAAATATGTGTGAAAATGCATTATGCAATAATATAACGAAAAGGATATAATATTTTAACATTGATATTTATGGATTTAGTCTTTGTTTTGTTTTGTTTTGTTTTGTTTTATTTTTCTTGTAAAGTGTAGAATTTTTTGGTTTTTTTGATTTTTGATTTCTGAATAGACTTGGTACATTATTAAGTTACATCTATAATTTTATGTAATATATATCACGTGATTATTGATAGATAAAGTCTAGCGAATCAAAAAAATTTTTAATATTTTCAACCAACTTACCCTTTTAAAAAAATTTTAAATCTGTTTAACCTACCTCTACAATTAAGTACCCATTATGCTTCAGATATCAAAGAAGTTCATTCCAAGGGTTCAAAACGGACTCTTGGGTTTTCGATTTTTTGGTGTGTCTGCTTTTCTTTTCCAAAATGTAGCAGAAGAACAGATGAGATCCCATGATGCTTCTGTTGGTGAAACTAAGCCTTCATCTTTCACTATTAAAAACCCGAAGATGAGAAAGGCGGTTCTTCAAGGTTACAAGGAATTTTCAGGTCCTCCATCTTTAAAATCAAGAACTAGCAGGGCTCGCTATACAACCCCCATTGGTCTTGATGAGGTGTTCCCTCTTGCTTACAACATTTTACAAGAACATCAGCAAAAATTGTATTCAAAAGCTACAGATCTAAAGCAACAAATTTGCTCAACTCCTCAAACTGATTTAGAGTCGGTCAAGTATCTCAAATCAGAGCTTTCGAAAACATTGATTAGTGCCGAAATTGACAACCCTGAGGTTCAATATAATTACAAAATTGGCCAAATCGACTGGGAACAACCAGTTTATCGTCATCTTGCAAAACATGAATGGCTTAATTATGATCTTTTGGTCCTGATGCAACGTTTGGAGTCTTTATCGGTGATTCCTGATACTGAGCCTACACTTGATCCCAAAGTCCAAGTTAAACTTCAATTTCCTGGTTATGTCAACAAATATGTTACGCCAGGTGCTATGCTTCCTTCAGTTGTATGCTCTCGCCCTCCTTATTTAGAAATTCAGGAGTTTGAAGAAGTCGCTCAGGATTGTTTATACACTGTTGTTATTGTCGACCCTGATACACCTGATCTTGAAAATGATTCCTATACAACAACTTTGCATTGGGCTGTTTCTAATATACCATTATCTTTAAGTGAACCTGTTGTTGAATTAGAGAAGTCTGATGAACTTTTAACTTACATTCCTCCCATTCCCGAAAAAAATACCGGCAATCATCGTTATTCTGTTTGGGTGTACCGCCAAAATGAAAAGATAGATATTAAATCTATCCCTAATAATCTTGTTTCTAGAGAAAATTTCAAGATTAGAGACTTTTCTTCTCAATTGAACTTAACGGCTGTTGGTGCTCATCTGTGGCGTTGTCACTTTGATAGATCAACAGAAAAGGTACGGGAGAAATATGGCTTACAGTCTGGTAGAGTTTTCACGAGAACTAGACAATAATTATTGTGCCTGATCTAAATTATCATATATGTAAATAGGTAAAAAAACTTGTAATATATTTTCATTAAAGTTACAATATACAGATCTCATTTTAAGTGGTCATAAATTATTATGTATTTAAAAATAGTTAAGCGAGAGCTTTAGAAATGTAATCAGCAAGGTCAAAATTGGGATCCTCAAAATCGACAGCGCCATCTTTGGAAACAGGTTTTGGGTGTAGCTCGGCATATTTAGCCTTAGCTTGTTTGATTAAATCCTCCTTGTGGGCATACTCAGCAGAAGCCTTCTTTTCAGCAGCCTGATTTGAAAGAGTAATGTTATGGAAAAATCCGTAGACGACGCCAGACGCAAGAGCGCCCCATCGAAAGACCTATATTGAAATAATAATTAGTTTAAATTCGATTCTGAAGAATTTGTTTTCATTTAAATTAGTTACTAAACACTTGGGGTGTTTGTATATGAAGTTCCAGTAATATCCTAGGAATTTCAGCTCTATCCAATAATATGTCGTAAATTAATGTTACGTGAAATTTCCAAATTCTGAGAATTTAAAAGTAGTTTATTAACTATTTCAAAAAAAAAAAAAAAAAAAAATCATCCTCTATATAATTGTATAATTATATAATTATATAACTTACATTAAAAATAGGAGCAGTAGACATAATTGTGATTAAATTTTCTTGTTGGTGTTGCTATAAAGTGGGAGAAGAAGTCTAGTAAAAAAACATGTAAATAACTTGGGCACCAAATTTTTTTTGAAGAATTTAAAACGCTGGGGAAGGTCCATTTAACTTATTTTTATGTAAGCATTATGCTTATTATTAAATAATATCAATTCATCTACTCTATGAAATTCTTGGTAGATTAAGTACGATAAAAGAGGAATTTTATTACACCTAAGAAAAATTGTAACAATATGTTACAAGACTTTATTATATACATAGTTGGTGCTGTCATTCTTAAGAGAATCTGTTTAATACATTAATTCACTAAAGAACACATCAAAAGGCGGACGTGTTGCAATTATCGACACCAACACATTTAAAATCAATTGGAAGCAATGAAAACTCCATTATTCTTATTATTAATTGTTATAAATATACTTCGATTTTGCTCTGCTTCGTCATCTAATTCGGAAAGCAGAAAGTCAATTATATTGTATTTTCAACAACAGGATACTAAACAGCTATATGAATTCGGTTCTATAGAATATGATACACTTTTTTCAAAGAGTTTAGGGTCTCTGAATAGGCTTAATAATTTCCCATATAGCAGCGGATGCTTCGGATTTCAAAATGAATTGAATCAGTTCAAGTGTTTGACATCTGTGAGTATATGTAAATTTTACCATGAATAACTGTAACTAACATTGAACAGAAAAAAAGCGAACTAAAGAAGTATTCTGGTATAATAACTTTATATTTGACCGAAGATGGGGATGTCACAAATTTAAATTTTATTGAATCCAATAATGATAAAGATATTGAAATACGTGTTATTCGTGGGACTCTTGATGGCCCTTTGCCTGAGTTGAAACAGCCTATTAAATTGGTGGACGATAAGATTCCTGAACAAGAGGTAAGCTCGTTTAATTTTAATTTTAAGAAACATCTAACAATTATTTAATTTAGGAAAATAAAACATTTTTGCAAAAATACGGCATTTATCTTATTCCATTGGTTCTTTTGCTATTGTTCTCCGGTGGAAGTGAATAAAATTATGTTAAAGTTATAAGTTTTATCAGTATATATTGTCTTAAATATTAAAATTCAAATCCCCCAGTTGTAGATCTACCTGGTTGGTTACAGATATCATTGACAGTAAGTTTAACAAATTCATCAAGTTCTGACTTATGACTTAAGCGACTTGATTCAATATTAAACAAAATATCTTTAATTCCCATTCCTAAAACATTGGAATTTGTTTGACTTTGAATTTGTTTAAGTGCACTTTGTCTGGAATCAGGATCAAGAAAGTTAAGCTGTTCAAGGATATTAGTCAGCTCTCCTATGGAGGAAACATTAGGGACATAGACCTCCTTGTTAAAGCTACTAATTATGTCGAGCTGTTCAAGAACATTTCTGTGTCGGGTCGTAACCAAAACCACCAATCGGCGGCCATCTGGTGGGAGATTACTTAAATAGGTTTTCAAACAATGTAGTACAGCATTCGAAAATCTAGGACCAACGTTAACCCATTCAATGATGTCTTCAATTTGATCAATAACCAGAACATTTTGAGTGGATCTGTAACTATCATTAAACATGTTACTAATATATTGAATTCTGTTTTGTTCAGTCATACCAATCATGGCTCGTGTAGAAATCATACGAATAAAAGGAAATCCAGAAGATAAAGCAATTGAAGCTGCAAGAGCTGATTTTCCAGATTTAGGAGGGCCATAGATAAGAACCGATGTAAGGGGAAATTGCTCACTTTGACTGGCCCTAATAATTGATTCACCTTCCTCTAAAATGTTGTTGACACGAGAAGAATATTTTATAATTCCGCCTCGAAGAAACTTTTCAAGCTCATCTTCATTAACGCCAAAAGCAGGCTTGGTTTCTTCGAGTGCATGCATGAAATCTTCTCGAGTAACTTTAACACCATTTTTACTATTAAATGTAACTCCTGTCTTAGGATCAAATTTAATGTTACGATTTAAAGCAAAAGACGCAGCACTTTTAACCAAACCTTCGATTTCAGCACCTGAAAAGTTTTTTGTTTTGGCTGCGAGCTCATCCAGACTAACGTTCTTATCCAGCATGCCCTCTTTAGACATTTTTGCAGTGTGGATACGAAAAATTTGGCGTCTTCCTGCTTCATCAGGTAACGAAATTTCAAGTTGAACCTCAAAACGTCCGGGTCTTAATAATGCAGAATCAATCAAATCCTTGCGGTTGGTCATGCCAATTACCAAGATATTGTTGAGCTGATCAACACCATCCATCTTAGCGAGTAGTTGGTTGACCACGTTATCTCCAACGCCTGTTCCATCGCCACGGCTTCCACGCTGCTTAAAAACAGCATCCAACTCATCAAAAATAATAATGTGTAATGATGATTCATCCCCCTTTTCCTTGTATTCAGTCTCTGCATCTTTGAATAGTTTGCGTATATTTTCTTCCGAACCGCCAACATATTTATTTAACATCTCAGGACCATTCACAATTTTTGGCTCTCTAGCATTAAGCATTTTACCAATTTGTCTTGCAATCAATGTTTTTCCTGTTCCTGGTGGGCCATATAAAAGCATGCCTTTCACATGTTTGATTCCAAGCTTCTCAATATCGCTTGGTGGGTATATACGTGACGCAAAAGCACGTCTAAAAATGGTACTGAACTCTTCATCCAATCCACCAATGCCCATATCTTCAAACTTAAAACTGGGTTGAAGAATAGCGTTGGCACGAGGTCTATCACCGGATTGTTTAATGTTTATCAATCCATTTTTTGCTTTGAAAAAAGTAATTTGAGTTTGATCAGTCAAAATACCCCTACCATTTTTTGTCCCATGTTGGCCGTCAGGTTTACCCAAATCAATAACACCAGTCGCTAAAACCGTGATTAAAAACTTAATTCCACTTAATTCTAAAAGTAAACGTTGTCCAGCAGCAAAAATTTGATTCTTAAAGAGAGTGAGGTATCTCTTGGAAAGTTCAGTTTGTTCATACGGTTTATCAGTTGCTTTACTTTTAGTTAAGAAGTCAATTTCAAGATCCAAAGTTCCTAAATAAACACGGCCGTTTCCTGAAGAAAATATATCAAATGGTTCAACAGAAACTTGTTGTTGGTAGCTGAACTTTCCCCATTCACGAACAACACCACCTATACCTATGTGGTTTGGTGGTATTTTAGAGGTATTCCTTTAAAATATATACATTAGAACGCATTGAAGAAGCATATTTATATATAAAAGCATACCTCACTGTCAAGACACATTTTCTGTCAATAATAACGGTTTGTCCATCTTTAAATAAACCTGGTGAAACAGCAGCAACGTTGTCCATAACAAAAGTCTCATCAGGGGCATTTGTTATAAAAAACCCTACACCAGGAACCGTGTTTCTTTGGGGATAAACTGGAGCCTGTTGAGAAAGGCTTGTCTGAGATCCTTGAGCATATGGGTTGTGATTATTTGATCTTGATAGAAAAGGTATTTTGTCCATCTTAAAAAACTAGAACTCGCAATTAACAGTAATACTTGGGTAAAAGTGTACAAAATAAATTTGAAAGGGAAATAGGAGGAGGAAAACAAAAATAAATGTGTAATAATAACTGAATTTTTTTAGGCTTGCAAATTGATTCTTTTCTAATTGTCAGGTCACGTGCAAATTAATAGACTCTGCTATTACACATGCGCGTTATTTGAAAAGTACAACAATTAACTAATTAGTTATAAAACTGTAAAAAGCTAAAGAAGTATGTAGTGTAGTACAGTAGAAACGGAGTAGAAATTAATAATATATATACATACATAGAATATATTATATAGTTTTGAAAAACATTAACTTAGTCAATCTAAAATTGACTTCATGATTAGAGCCCTATTTTCACGTGATGTATTTGGAAACCGATCTGATTATTTATTTATATAAATAATAAATATTATTATTATTGTCAAGTTTAGTATTTTGACTCTTATCCTTCATTCAACTTATTAATAACCTAAAAACAAATCTAATACATAAATATGGTTAACAAATATATTGTTATTTAGTAACTTTATATTTTTTCAATTTTAATAGTACTCTATATTTAAATTTGAAATGGGAGAGAAATCTGATGCTATTCTTTTAAAAGGCATGGCCTTTACTACCACGGGACATAAATCCTCAAGAGAAAAGGATTCTAAAGTAAGTTAAATCGCTTATTTTCAATAAGGTAGCACTCATTAATATATTAATACATATAGTTGAACTTAGTATCAATGATTAAGGCAATGGGAGGTGTATTAAACTCTGATTTGGATTCTTCGACTAAATACCTTATTGTTTTTACTCAAGGCTCGAATAAATATTTATATTCTATTTCAAAACGTAAAGACGTTATTTTGCTAAAGCATGATTTTATTGAGTTATTATATAAAAAATGGAAAAGGGGAGATGAAATAAATCTTGAACACGAAATTCGTGATGGTATGCTTAAACCTTTTTCAGATCAACAAATTTGTTTCACAAACATTGGTATGGCCACTATTTATTTTTTTAATTACATTACTAACATTTGTCCAGAATCTTCTCAGAGAAATTATTACGGTAAGATAATTCTAAATAACGGTGGATACGTGTCACAGGACCTTCATAAAAGTGTGAATGTCCTTGTTTCTTCTTGTTTGGAGGGTAAGAAATGTGAATACGCCCAAAAATGGGGGATACCTATTGTCAACATTGATTGGGTTCGAGATTCTGTTTCTGCTTATGCACCTTTACCAACTGGTGAATACCTTTTATTAAATAAATCTGATTCATCGCCTTCATATCGAAAATTCAAAATTCAAAATTATGTTTCTTTAGCTGATCATAATGAAGGTCAGGCGTCACAGAAACCGATAGCTTCTTTGAAAAGAAAAGCTATGAATAAAGAATGGGATAATCATTTAAAGCTTGCCCATATATCTCAAAAAAAAAAACATTCAGATGCAGAGCAACAATGGCATGATATAAATTCAAAAAAAAAACGGATGACAGACTTTGTATGTAATAGGAATAAGTCAGAGATTGATGGCATAATTAGTAATAGTGAACAATTACTTCAAAAGCCTGACAGGTTGCAAAGACTTATATTTCATGGATGTGTCTTCTATCTTTGTGGATTCGATTCTAATCATAGTACCATTTTACGAAAGGTGATTGAGTCTCAAGGAGGGGTTATTGGTCATTTTACTGATTCAAATTTAACTCACTTTATCATTTATTCTTACCTGGAACCTTTAAAAAAACCAAATTTAACCAATTTGTCTGATTCGGTTTTAGTATTAACTGAGTGGTTTATTGAGCGTTCTCTTTGCAAGAAGAAGTTGATACATGATGAATGGGGACACTATTGTGAGTATAGAAACCTGATTGAGTTTAAGAATTTAAAAATATCGATTAGTGGTTTCACAGGATCAGATTTACCACATATCGAACGTTTAATTAAAATTTTGGGGGCAGATTATCACGAAATTTTTACTCCAGATGTTGATATCTTGGTAAGCATGCCAGGTTCTAAAAAAGAGCGATATGCTTATGAATGGAATATACCGATAGTTGATTCGTTATGGTTATGGGAATGTGCTAAAACTGGGAAAGTAAAATCAATACCAAAAGGATGTATTTTTTTTAATAATTTACCAAAACTTGATTTAATTACAATCCCAAAATCTACAATAAACTTTCAAAGCAGTTTTCAGGATCACTCTAGTTGCAAAATGGACAGAAATCATACAGTAACTGAATCAGCTGAATGGGCCCATATTATCACTTCAAAAACAATGGAGAACGACCTCGAAATTTCAAATAATCGAATAAGTCCTCACAAAAAAAAAAAACTTGTAGGAAGGTCTCATATTTCAACATTATCTAGCTCTACTGGATCATTTCATCAGGAAGAAATACACACCAGTATTGAAAATCAGCTTTCGACAGGATCTTATGACACAACTAATGAACCAAAAATAAAATATTTTGATAGTGAATCAATTCGAAAAAAACAAGCCCTTTTTGAGGAGCTTGGCGATAAAGCAGGGAATAAAGCATCTATTCTTTTAACTCAAGAAACGACACATGCTGAAGATTGTTTTAGAACACATATGCGACCAAGATATTAATAAAAAACGTATATTAAGACATAAGAAATGTATTTACAGCATTCAAAGTGGTTCTACTTGGGTTGACTTTTCTGAAGGAAGATATAAGAACCAGTCGTTGCCTAATTGTATCTTTGTCCAATGCCTTTTTAAATTTTGGGGGCGGGAATAAACTAATAAGCGCTAAACAAACTCCAACCGATATGTCTGTTCCTGTATCACACAATATTAATGTGTTCGGAATATCATTTTGAATTACAAATTTGGAAAAAGATGTGACTATATCAGAGAGACGCACTCTCAATTGTTTGGATCCCTTCTTCCCTTTTGAAATAGGAATTTGTACTAAATTTACTTTTTCCGACATTAAAGGTAGTCTTTGATTATCTTCGGATAGATTTATTACAACTGAAAACTTTTCAGGGCTTAACTTAAGTGATAAAATATCGCGTGCTGAACTTAATGCAAATCTTGATGGTGGTATAAATGAGATAAACTGAGATACATTATCAAAAATAGTATGTTTGTTCGAATCATTGCTTATAGTTATTGATTTAATCGATGATAACAATTCTTCATCATTTAAATTCAATTGCCCTAGTTGTTCGATATTGTTCCAAAGTAAGTTAGGTGTAAACTCAGGTATGGCCCACTCTTCATGGTCATCTGCTGCTCCCTGTACATAGGTGTATCCATTTCTATAATCCGTATTATCCTGGGTAATGCTTGAAGCTGTACAGCATATTATTGGATAAAATTGTTCCTTAATTTCATCTAAGTAAGACGCATCAAAAGAATCAATTGAGTCAGGAGATATCCATAAAGGAAGTAGCTTCTTCTTAATTTTAGAACGCATAATTACTCCATTAGCATCAGACAGTTCTAATGCACCGCTTTTAATAAGTTTTTCCGTGAAAATGGGAACTCGTTCTATAATTTGATGTTTTTCACTGTCTGCGATGGTGTTATTTGGAAGGAATAATGTGGCATCGTTGAAAATGGCGTTATTCAATATACAGCACCAAATAGGGACTGTTTTTGAAAATGAATCTGGCATTTTTTTTCCTCTCCGTGTGCTATCTACAATAATAATTCTTGATAAAGGTTTAATTACATTCTTCTAATAAACAACTGAAATAAACTTACCCGTTTTTAGAATTAAGGATTTCCATAATGTGAAGATTTAGGCGTCTAGTTGAAAAATCCCATTGATTTGTATGGCCATCAGTGCTTTTAAAATAAACAGATTCGTAAATTAAAGAAGGAGGAATATACCATCTTCCACATCTTTCATTGGCTTCGGTGTAATTTTGAGTTGTGCATTAATATAATAATAATAATAATAATAATAATAAATGAAGAGCAGTCAGCACTTACCCACGAGAGGGAATTGCGGATAGATATCAGAAACAAATTTGACAAACTCTGAATCGCTTATAATAGATTGAATTCGGTTATAAAGGCTTCGTGAATTTTTCTGGATTTCTTTGGAAAGGGCAGAAATTTTTAAACTATTCAGATTATAATCATTAAATTCATTTCGAGTATCCCAGTTAAATTCCATTGTAATTTTTATTTCTTAATTTTTTTTTTTTTGAAATTTTAATGCTTAAAATTAATGTTAAAATTTAACAAAAGCGTCTAGTAAGATTTATTGACTAGAGAACATTAATCAATCATTAATTTATTACTGATAAAACTTATTATGATACAATAATATTATTATTGTATTTGTAGAGTCAATTATATTTACTATCTAAAGTGTGACAATTTTGAAGTTTATAGTGAATTTTTGTTACAAATTGTTACAAACAAATGTTGGACATCAATTGAAAAGTTTACCCCTTAATAACCTTTTTAATACAAAATCAAGTAATATCTGTTAACAGAAGTGCTAAAATAACAACAAATTTAACAATTAATTACACAGAACTAGTATTTTCCAAAAGGAACTAATATATATTAGTTTCGAATACAAACTACATTTGTATTATTATATACGATAAATGTACGTTTATTTTTATTGGAAAATGAATTCTAGGCCAGTTCTAATTTTTTTTTAGTTTACTGAAATAATTAAAATCTAGTTTTATGATGACCACTAGTAAAAGACAGGATTATATTGCAAGAGTCAGATATGTCAATGATCTTCCACCTCCACCTTGTCCTCCAAAGTTATTGGATGTTCCTATAAATATTCAAAAGTTAACATCTTGGGCGTTTTTGTCCGATCTTGTAAGAAAACAAGTACCAAATGTGGATCTTGATATGGATCTTGGAATGCCTTTAGATATGACGATAGTTCCTGGCATTTTTGACCGTGAAGATGAAAGTGGTATGTCTTTTTTGTAAAAGCTATTGGAAATTTACTAATCTGTGACAGGTTGTTATCCTTTGGATCCGTTACCTCCATTAGATCCCAAAGATACTGTTTTGTTAAAAGATCCTACAGGTAGCTCTTCAGGTGTTCGCGGCCAACCAAATGTCTCGTTTCTGAGAAGAACAGAGTATATATCATCTGAAGTAGTACGACAAAAAGTTGATAAATCTGTTAATAAAAAGGTATCGCTTACAGTCGTGGATCCTGAAGCCCAATTAAGGGCTGTTGAAGACACTTTCGAAATATCTAACAGACCATTGGAAACAATCAGACACCCTAAAAATAAAGCTCTTAAGCCATTGGAATCTTTTTCTTTACTTCCTGATTTCAAACAGCTTGATCTAACATACTTATCAGTAAAGATGGTCAATTCCGCATCACTTAGCCACTTGAGAGAAAAACAATCGGATGTGTGTCTCTCTACATCTTTATTTCGTCCAACATCTTTAGAAACAGATGAATGGATGTCATTCTTTGTTCCAAATGAATTTGATGCTCGTGATTTAAAAAGAAAACTTGATGACCCTAATGATAACCTTGAAAAAAATGACTCAGAAAATGAAGCTGAGCGGCCCATTTATAAATTTAAGCATCTTCGTGATTACGAAATGGAATTAATTCAGCATTCAAACCAGTTCGATGATATTTCAGTAAATTTTTCTTCAAATAGTGCTGAACAAAATCCTGGTATGGCGTTGTTTGTCCCGATAGCAGGTCGCACAAATCTCAAACGAAGAAGAGTAGCTGACAGTCAAAAGCAAGTGGTTGCTGAAAACAATGTTGCTGAAATAGAGCTTTCTTTACGAGAACTCGATTCTGAAGAATCGGTCGGGAGAGACAGACTACGTGCAGAGTTCGACTCTATTCTATATGGATAAATACATAATTAAATGAATATCGTTTTTATATTATAGTATATATAGCATATCCATTATTGGTTACAATATAAAACCCCTATTTTTATAATTTATTATTAGATCTAATAATAATTACCTGTTCTTCAATAGTTTTATGACTGATGGTATCGCTGATTATGAAGCAAAGCAAATTTAATCTAATACAATACAGTAACAGGATTTGAGGTAAATACGCAACCATCGCTTGCACCCTATTGCTGTATGAAACTTAATTACATAATCAGTTACAATTAGGATTATGAATTTTTAAGTTAGAAAACTATATAAAAGCAAAATAGGGTTAGGGCGTTTTATTAATTTATGAACGGTACGAAAAGCTATTAATTTGTCAATCTTTTGGTATTGTCACCGACCATCAAGATAATTATAATTAATAACTTAACATATTAGAACGAGAAAAGTATCTTAACCGTTAAATTTTATTGTTCACTTGGTTTTTTTTTTTCATTGTAAGGTTCCAAAATGGCCAATGTTGCGTCAATGATAGAATATTACAAAAAAGGTATTTTCTTTACTTCTTGTCTCTTTAACACTAACTGAAATATTTTAGCCCTATATAGTCTTTTAGATTCAGTCAATCCTGAATGCAAGGTATTCAATTATTTCTTTTTAAAATATTTTTTCAAAAATAATTGTTTTTAACATTAAACAATCAGTATAAAGTTCTTATTTTAGACAATTACACGTCGAGTCTAGTTCGTGACGTTGTAGATGATAATGAATTACTTATTAAGCATAACATTGCAAGTATGTCATAAGCTTGGTTATTTGATTTTTTTTCTAATTGTTTTATAGGCATTGAAATTTTAGATTCAAAACGTCAATCTCAGTCAAGTCTTGAAGCTGTGTATTTAATAAAGCCGACTATTTATAATGTTAATTGTATTGCTGCCGACTTCACTTGTATTCCATGTCGTTATTCTGCATGTCATGTTTTTTTTCTTCCACCAGTTCCTTCTATTGTTGTCCATAAATTGAAAAACAGTAATGCGGGTAAATACTTACGTCGAATAGAAGATGCTTATTTGGACTTTAGACCGTTAGAGAGTCAAGTATATACTCTTAATGATCCACGTTCGTTAGAAAAGCTATATAGCAGTGAATGTCATGATTTAGTAACTTCGACAATTGACAAGATTGCCTTACAACTTGTTTCAGCATGTACCGCATTAGGTGAATATCCCATTGTTCGATTTTACAACCCTGATAAACCAAACTATGAGGCATACTCCTTATCTCATATTATTGCCCAAAAATTTCAAAACCAAATTGATCTATATGCGGGAAATCATGAAAATTTTCCTGATAATTCTCCAGGTCGACTCCCTAGCATTTTGCTTATTATGGATCGTTCAATTGATTTTATTTCTCCCATAATTCATGACTTCACATATCAGGCATTAGCATACGATCTTCTAGAGTTTAAAAACTGGAATAAAGTAATGTATAGTACCCAAAAAAAGGATGATGGCAAGTCAAAACCATTAGAGGGAAAAGTCAGTGAGAAAGATCCCGATTGGGTATCTTTACGCCATGAACATATTGCTGATGTTAGCAGTAAATTTACAGAAAAAGTACAAAAATTATTAAAGGATAATCCTCATTTTGTCAACCAAGATACCAACGTCACAGTAGGCGACTTAAAAGACATGATATTTTCTCTTCCTGGGTTTAAAGAGGATAGAGATCGTTATACAATGCATTTGGATATTGCCAGTGGGTGTATGACTAAAATTGAAACTAAAGATCTTAAAAGTGTTTCAGTTGTTGAGCAAACACTAGCTACTGGATTTTCTGAAGATGGTACAAAACCAAAAACAATTACAGATGATTTTGTGGCTGTGCTAGCTGATGAACGACTGGATCACATGGACCGTGTGCGTCTAATATTGCTATATGCGATTTTCAGACATGGATTGGTTGAAGCAGATTACCAGAGACTTCAGCAACATTGTGGTTTATCTAATGATGACATTCAAATTATTCGTAATTACACCAAAATTGGCGCGCCTACAATTAAAGCTTCTTCCAAAATAAAACTGTCGAAGAGTGATCTTTCTCATAGGTTTCATTCAATGAATACAAAAGGTTATATGACTTCTCGATATGTTTGCGGCATCTATAATGTAATTGATCAACTTTTAACGGGAAAACTATCCGCTGATCTGTTTCCTTATACCAAAGAACAGCCTATTAACGAGGAAGAATCTGCTGCTGCTGCTGTTGGAATCAATTCGTTACGCAATACACATCAGCGTGCTGTATGGGCTCTTAACCCTACAGCCCAGCCAGCAAAACAAAGGATTTTCATTTTTGTTGCTGGTGGAATTACGGCATCAGAAGCCAAAGCAACTTATGAATTATCAAAAATCTATAATCGCGAGATAATTATTGGCGGAAATGATATTATTGCACCTCGTCAGTTTTTGACTTCACTTTTGAACTTGTCCAAACCTCGGCCTTCACTCAATTTAGAAGAAGATAAGAAAATTGCCGAATCTGCCCCTAACTTTCTTCTCGAATCAGATCGTCAAAAACCATCTATATCTTCTCCAATTACAAAGCCCACACCTCGTGAAAATACATTTCCTTCAGTTGCAAAGCCCATATCTACCATCAGTTCCTCCGTTGAACCTCCCAAACACGAAAAGGAGAAGAAAAAGGGGAAACTTAAATCTCTTTTTAAATCTTGAATAAATTCATTTTCCCTAACTAAGTTCCAAAAAAAGTAATTAAAATTACAATTTATATATTATAACCTTTATCTTCCCTGTAATTAGAATTATTACCATATGTGCTATTGTTTCTGTTTAAAAGTTGAGTATTAAGACGCATGTAATTTTGAACCTCAGAACGGTTATTGACATAAAAAGTAGAAGAGTTAGGTGGTAATGACTCCGTCGAAGAAACGCGAGAATTTGGGTAAGTGTGATTCGGCAAGTGTGTTGTATCAATAGAATATTGCAATTGCTCAAATGTTTGCAAATTCTCCGCTAAAGACTCTTCGTTCCGTATGACATTACTGAAAGATTGATTATGGGGCTGATATAAGGAAGAGTATAAAAACGATTGATCATCGTTTTTATAAATTTTATTATGATAATCACCATATATATGTGAATGCGTTTTCAAGGTTTCATATGACTGACGAGATGTAGATGGCTGCTTCGAAATAAAATTTAACAAAGGTGGCGGCGGAGGTGGTGGAGGAGGAGGTGGTGGCGGAGGTGGTGGTGGAGGTTGAATTTCTCGAGATAATTTTCTTTTTGATTCAAAAATTTGGGGTTCAACATCATAGCACGCATCTATTTCGTCGTAATCTGTATAATCAAATGACTTAGAATTGGAAACAGATTTTAAACCGTCTAAGCTTTGTTCAGGGGCATTCGGGCTTTTATCAGAATAAACTGGAAAGGAAGGATTCAAAAATGTATTAGCAGATCGTATTGATTTAGTAGAATCGAAGTCAGGCTGGTAGAGGTCATCATTATCTTCAGTTATAACAAGATCTGAGGAACCAATGTTAAATTCGTTGGAAATATTTTTTTCCTCTAGTTCTCGCCTCCGTTCACGTTGGCGTTCTTCTAATCGTTGTTTTAGCTGCATTCTAAGCTTATGCTCTGTTGAACTAGCCTTCAATTCCTTTTCGTCATCTGAAAAATTTTGTTCTTGAGATAATTTTAAGCTGAAATCACTCGGTTTATTGACTATTGCTTGATCAGATTCGTTTTTGTAGACAAATTGGATAGTGTCAAGTGAAATAAGTGAATTGTCAAGTTTATTATTGATTACCGCAGTAGCTTCTGGTAGACATGATTTCGCAGCAAGCAATCGCATTTCAAAATCAGGACTTTGTAAATCTTCTTTTAAAAATTCTTCCCATCCAGGAGCAAGTTTCAAAGCGGCAGAAGTTTCAATATAAGATGCATTTCCTGAATTTCCAAATTTTCCTTCCATAGATTTACTCAAGTCTTGGTATTGTTTTCGAGATGACCCCTTTTGAATGAGAGATTTCTCAATTTTCCAGCGACGAAACCTAAATGCAGATTCTTGTTGAGATATACTTTTAATTTCTGAAAAATGAGTACCACCATTAAGCTGATATAATTCGGATTCAATTTTTGAAAAACGAGGAAATGAACAGGGTAGTTTTATTAGATCACGAAATGTTAATTTTTCCCAAGTAGAAGCTTGATCATTTTTGATGACTTGGTCCCTAAATAAAATTAGTTTTTCTACCTCAGTATATACATCATATGCTTCGTTATTATTTATACTATTTGAATCCATTTAGTCTAACCGATTTTTTTGTTTGAAATAGATACTTAGCCTTAAAAGGATAAAAATAGAAAACATAGAACAAAATGAAAGACGGTATGATCAAACCCTGTTAAGTTTTTTTTTTTTTGAAATTACATAATCTATTAATTTCTGCCCAGTTTCTAGTGTACTACAAAACAAATTACAGAAATTGTTTATTTTCGTAATATATATTGTGCCAGATGTGAAGGCGCATAAATACTGATGGTAATTTTTGAAAAGATTCTTTTTCTGCCAAAAGTTGGCTAATAGGTTGTTTAAACGTAGAAAAAAAAGCAACGGCAACTCGGCGTCTAATAAAATCTATCATGGTAATCAAGTCTTGCAGTCTGGACGATCTGTAAGGTTATGACATAAGATTCGTTCGTGGAAAGGTTAAAAGAGTTTCCAGAGCAGGAGGTGTCTGGTAGAAAATGATACGTATGCTGTGATGATACGTCTGGGGAAGAAAGTTTCTAATTTAGATCGACATAATGGGGACTGGTACTGTATGTTGTCTTCGGTTCTGGATATGGTGAACATAATGTCTTGTTCTATGTTGTATGACGCTATAAAGTGTGTCTGGGACCTTCTCTAGCTTTCTGGTGTAAATTTTCATTTCCAGTGTCTACTTGGTTGTTTAAGGATACTTTTGTACCAGGGTTTGTAGGAGCTGTTTAATGCCCTTGTATTTTTAATAACGTGTTCGAATTGCCATCGAGTGAGGGCGTTTGGTCTAGAAAAAAACAATTGCGCCGTTTTTAATTCTATTAACCCTGATTATGTGATTTATTTTGTCCAGTCTCTTTCAAGAAATGTTGTTCGATGGGTGCTGGGATTATCTGAGCTATCCCTGTGCGTTCTTGTGTCGGAGAGGCATTAGACTGCCCTCCAGGCTAGATCTTCAAGCTTGATGTGAAGCGGGAGAATGCATAGTTCTCTGCAAAGATTATAAATTGGATAGGTCTAGCAGATTTTCTATTAATTGTTTGATCTCTCAACAATGTATCCATATTCTGATTTCCTGATAAGGTGTGTTTTAAGTTGAATGATTTCTAAAAAAAAAATGTTCTTTAGAACTTCCTTTGTGTTAGTGAGTTTTAATTTTTGCCTAATTCAAATATGTTGTAGTAGTATGTGGTTTTGTAAAGTAATATGAAAAATGTGGCTTGTCTTCAATATTTGTCGCTACCGCGTGCTCATGTTTTCATCCTATGGGTGCCCAACCTTTAACGATGAAGATGAATTTTCTCCTTTAGATTTCACAAAAAAAAATAGGTTTCTTCTAAGCAGCCCTATTATGTTTATTTAATCCCTTAATCCGGTTCTTTTTCTCTTTCTTCGAGATACTGTACATTTTTAGGGTAAACCCAAAAATTCACAAAAATTATCTCCTGAAAGCATGTATAGTTCTCTTTTAGTTCTCATAAATGCCTCTATCACCTATCAACCGTGCAAAAAAATTTCACACCAACTTCTATTCTTCACTTCCATCTACCAGCACTTGTCAAAAGTGAAAATACGGCTACACCAATTACGACCACATCTAGATGTGAGCGTAGCGAGCCACTATTTTTTGAAAAAAAAAAACGTTAACAGTAGCATGGGTAACTTGTAATTAATAATCTTAACAGTCACAGCTCATTAAGCATGTTCTGTCGTAAATACCCACAAGTAACTACAAGCTGTAAACCACAATTTTTTAAATATACATATATATTATAAGTTTAAATATAGTAATAATAACTTGGGCTAAGTAAAGCACAACAAGATTGTACACGGTTTAATGCTATGGAAACTTGAGGTTTCAATTATCTAATCTAAAGTGATCATCTTGATGAAAACGTGATAAAATCGCAAAATTTATGTTAAAGAACTTGTAATTTTTTATAAATTTGCGATGTATTATTTAATAGAAACCATTTTAACATCAAAGATGAGAGTACTGTTGGCAGGAATTCCAGGTAAAGCTTGAGTACCATACGCCATGGGAGCAGGGATAACAATTCGGCGCTCACCTTTAACTGACATCCCAGCAATACCAAGATCCCAACCTTTAATAACTTGGCCTGCACCAAGTTTGAATTGAAATGGTTTGCCAGATGTATTTGAATCAAATGTCTTACCGTTTTGAAGCTTTCCAATATATCTGACACTAACCTTGTTACCTTTCTTAGCGACAGGACCTGAACCAACTTTTTTATCTTCAATAGTGATACCTCCAGCTAATTTCTTGAGAGTGGATTTTTCAACCTTCTCTTTACTGGGTGTAGGCCCTTGTTCCAGTTCTTTTGAAAAAGCAACTTTCTTTTCTTCAATTTTTTTTTGTTTTTTGACTTTTTCGTCTTTGCTATTCTTTATAGAGTCACCATCTTCAGCAGCTCGCTTATTAGATTTTGATTCTTTTTTGGTCGATTTAGTTTCTTCGACAATTTCCTCAATTCTTCCAGAAGAAAGATCTAACTCATCCTCATCAGGGGAAAGATCATACTCCTCTCTGTCCAAATAATCAGCTGGATCAAAATCATCATCATCATCATCGCTATTCTCATCATCAAATGGATGAGTAACAACGTTACCAGTAATCGAAACTTTATGTGGGCCTTCAACAGTGAAAAAAACAGATTCATTAGGGGTAAGATAAAGATCAAGTTTCTGTTGCAGGCAGAATTTAGGAGATAAGGTGCAAACGATAGCAGTTTCTTCTGAAGTAGGGTCTTCATCGTCTTCATCTTCTTCATCTTCTTCATCTTCATCGGCAACGGCTCTAGTGACTATTTTAACAACTGTAGGTTTTAAGCTTTCACTAGAGGAGAGATCCAGGGCTGCCATAGTAATTTTGACAACTGATTCTCCGACTGATTCTGCAACCGATGACAGCTCATCAGGTTTGACACTAAGCATAAATGTTTCAATAGGAAACATCCCGTTTGCTTCGTTTTCCATTTTATTTAAGTGTTTGTTGGTTTGAAGTCCGAATTGAAACGACTTCTATCTAAAAGTTTTATGTTTTTGGATAAAAGAGAATACAATAAAAAAAATTTATAGAAATCGGAACTAGCCAAAAAAAAAAAAAAACTTTTCATGATTACCTAATAATTTTATGAACATCACGTGTAATCAATGCTCGATTTGATAACATGTCTTAGTAACCAACCAAATACTTTTCATTTCTAACTCTGAATTCATCAAAATATTCACAAAATCATGCTTTTTCATCTTAAATTTTATGGATAGCACAAAATATATTAAAATAAATGCAGGATTGAAATGCAAGACTACTCGGATATCTTGCACTGTTTGAGTACGCTAAAGCTTTAAAAGCTTTCGGTGGTGTTTGCATCACCTTCCATGGAAGTTTTCGCAAGAGCTTGGGATGTTTATATAAAGAGTTATGTAATCACAATTTTTTAAAAACATAATGAATTTTTTTCGTTTAAAAATTTTGTTATTGAGAGATCTCACTAAGGGGGTTATTTATTTAATATATCACCAGCACCATTTCCACAAACCAAATTTTTTTTTCCACGTTAAAAAAATCGTAAATAAAAACAAAGAAACAAACACATTAAAAATTTATGTCATATTAATAAAAATTAAAGGTATTACAGGTCACCCGTAGAAAAAATTTTCAACGTCTGGAACTTATTAGTAATTACTAGCTACGATGTATTTTTGACATGAAATTCTAAAGTAGTCGTTGTAACCATCATGAAAAAGCTACGACATTCTAAAAGGTCAGAATTATCATTATCTCAACCTATATCATGCATAATTCCAGTCCCTCGCGATCTGCCAAAATCTTTTGTTTTTGTTAGAGGTTCAGGCATTTTTACAAGCTCATTTATTATAACCGTTGGATGTTGTAACACGATCTTTCTAGGCAAAATTCAAATTATCCAGCCGGCTCTGAATTTCTATTTTTCTTTTAACATAGTTATCAATAGAAAAGTCTTGTAAAATAAAAATATGAATAAAACAAAACAAATTGAGAAAATTTAAAGTGGCCAGCCAAAAGCTCGGGTGCGGCGCATACGGCTTAAATTAAGTAATATCCAATTTTTGATAGATTGAATTAACAAATACAAATAGAAGATGTGATGGATGAATTTATTAGGCTTAAAATAATATCAACAATTATTCAAAACAAAATGAAGTATACTCTCCAAAAGCGTAGAAACAACATTTTTTGTTATCAATTTCTTCAGCACCCATGGTCTCTCATATAAAATTCACATCTGTGGTTTTGTATGTACTAGAAAATATATATGCGCTACATTAACATAGAGGCATTTACCATTGAGGAAATATGATCGTATTATTATAATACAATCCCTAATTAGGGATTGTGATTCAAAATTCAACAACAGTAAAAGTGCAAAATTATTCACAAAAATTGACATCATTTTCATTAAAGAGTTTAAACAATTATATTAACCTAAAAATAAAACCGTTTAAAACTTGAGGAGATGAGGCTTATCACCATTCTTCAAGCTAAAAGAAGTGGAAATGTATCTCTTGAGAAGAGGCTGCTTCTTGATCTCAGCAAGAAGAGCGGAGTCAACCTCCTTCTGGTCGGCAACACGTTCAGCCTTAACTTCCTTCTTCTCCTCCTTGTCACCAAAGAATTCCTCCTCAGTCACAGCGTCCTTGGCCTTCTTCTCACGAGTAAAGTAAGAAACGTTGAACTTCTTGGTATCGACACCAGAAACATTAATGCGAGTTGAGGTAGCAATAACGTAACGAGCGTTGACTCGTCGGAGAGGAACACCATTAACCTTAAAAGGACCCGAAACAAGAAGTGTGTTGTCTTCAAGAGCCTTAAGGTAAACAACTCTCTTACCACGGAAACGACCAGCAAGAATGATCAAAATGGTTCCGGGAACAAGGGAAGAACGAAGCTTTGTAGGATTTTGAACCTGAGGAGTGTTCTTCTTAACAAGATCCTCTGTGGGGTACCAGTTCTTGGCCTAACAAATAATGTTAGCTTTTAACAAAAATCAACTTTTCAAATAAGTCAAATCTAGGGTATCATTAAAAGGTATTTAAATGGTTTTAACAAAATGAACATATTAAAATGATAGTAAATAATCGACTATACTTACTCCTCTGACAGTCCGGGCAGTCATTTTGATGTCGAGTTATATGTGTGTAGTGTACAAAAACCTAGGGGGTTTGCCGACAATTCAAAAAAGAGGGAATGAAAAAATTACGAAGAAAAAAAAAAAAACAAAAGGGTGTCCTCCTTAGAAAATTGTTACAAAATGTAAATTTTTTGCAATACTGTTTATTACGGCATTTGGTGTAACAGAATTAGAAAAAAGATAAATAAAATTATAGTTCTCATATATTTTTAAAGACTCAAAAATACACATTTCAAAATTACATAATAAGTGACTGCTATTAGGGCTGTAATAAAACTCAAATAATTTAGATAATAACAAATAATCTTTTATTAAACTAAAAAAGCATATTTGTTTAAACTAGGACCAATACAGATGTAATGTAAAACAACTGGAAGTACACTTGCTACCAGAAAAAAATACTGTCTGACGACTATCAAAATTTGATAAATATTGCCTTAATGATGGGCATATGCTTACAGTAAAAATTTAGTTAATTACTGATCAGTGACCCTTGAATAGTAACAAACAAACAAACAAACAAACTCGTCAGTGACTTAGTGATTAGATTATGATCTAAACTAATATAGAGATTGCGTCCTTACTTAAATTTGTAGAAAATAGTTACATTTTTATAGCCTATAGGTCTTGTCTTTAACTTTATTTTTCAAATCTTCAACGTCTTGTAAAAACGCTTGTTTGGCAGATTCAGGAACAGTACCATCAGGGAAATGTTGGGTGTATAAATCATCTAATTTATATTTTATTTCATTCCTTTGCTGCGTGTCAAGTGCGTTGTTGAATCCCACCTTGGTTAATGCATATTTCTGTAAATGTAGACATTTTTTATGTGCTTCAGATTCTTTGTGGCAAGACATCATAACACTCCACATAGGCCCATGTCTCTGACATTCACCATATCTAGCTGCTAAGAGTGCACAGTTCTCATTTGCCGCTTCCCACAATGTTTGAATATAGTCACCCCCAGAATCAGCAAATTTCCTTCGTAAACTATTTATTTCGCCTTTATCAAATGCCATTGGTGCCCGTTCAAAACCAAGACTTCGAGCTTCGCGTTCTTTAGAATATCGTTCTTTAACATCTTGAGGAGCCAATGAGATTGGTTTTATTGGTTCAGCTTCTTTATAAAAATCTATCAAATTTGTATCAATAGATTCAAAAATATTTTCATTATGGGATTTAAAAAATGATTCTTCTGAGCCACTTGGGGTTTGTTTGCTTGAGAATGGCCAAACCATTAGAACGAAATAAATTTGGATCAAATTTTGGCTTATATACTAGGAAACTAAAATTTAATGATAAAATAGAAACTTTTAACAAAAAATTACCCTGACATCTATTTATTTATCAATCTATCTATCAAAACTTAAATAGTTATTAGTAATTTAACGTAACATAATTTTAATAATTATTTTGTTAAAAATAAATATTTTTTACTTATTACTTATTACTTATTATATATTATTATTAAATTGAAACTTTAGCTATTCATAAATTCTTATCAAATATTCTAAATTGGCTAAAAAATGTTTTGTAAGCTTTGTACTATATTGATATTTATTTTACTTCTTGTAAATCTAACAATATAGATTCTGATCAACATGTAAAGACAAAACGTGAATCTCGTCTACGTGGGGCAGGGTATGTTAATTAGATTTCATATTAATTAAATCAGAAATTAATTCAAATGTTGTTTCACCAGAACTCGTCAGGTACAAGTTTCTTCTTTTAAAATTTTTGCAAACGGTACGTTTTATTCATTTACTTATAAAATATCAAATTTTAATAAGGCTAATTTGAAAAAAATTAGAAATCCCTTTAAATTTTTGTGAAGAAAAGCTAAACAGAAGAAAAGCTCATGACTGTGATTCATCACTTTCTCATACCTTAAGGGATGAAGATTTTCAACAAAAGGTATACAGAATACGAACTTCGATAGATGATGTTGATGACAATATTGACAATATTGACAATAAAAGTGAAGACTATAATCATGATACTAAATGTGACTTTATAGCTAATCAGCTTCTAAATTTGAAAAAACAAAACCTTTCAAGCAGAATATGTGACATATCTGTATGTAACCGAGAAGAAAAAGACCGAGATTCACTAGAGTTTAAACAAACCCAAAAATTAAAAACAGTAACTTTTGGAACCTATAATACTAAAGAAACAAAGAACGAAGATAACCACATGGCACAGCCAAAAATTGTGCTCAACAACAAAAATAACTATCAAAATGAAAAAAATATTCTACAAAATTCTAATATAAGCCACATATCAAAAAATACGGACCTCATGATACCAGAATTTAAAATTACAGATAATGAAAATCAGAATGATATAAGTGTGCCTAATTTTATACCCCAAAACTTTTTTGAATTAAATAAACCAAGGAAATCATTGAATAGAACACTAAAAATAACTGATCCTTATAGTAATCGAACTTCACAAAAATATAAGGAGCTAATAATATATAAATTTCCAAATGAATTTGGAAGGGTGGCTCAGATTAATACAATGGACATTATTCGGAGGTCTCTAGATTTAATATTTGACGATTTTACTAAAGGTACATTTCCCAAAATATTAAAAAATACAAAAACTACTTATTTACTTCAAAAATATCAAACAAAATTGGAGTATAGGCTTTTACAAATTATGGATTTTTGTGACACTAATAATCTTCTTGAAAAAAAAATACGTAAAGCCAAACACCATAGAAGCAAATTAAGAGGTACATTAATGAAAATTCGCACAAACAGAATTTCTTTGTCAACTAAGATTAATTCAATGCGTTTATATCATATTAATCAAATTTCTTCTCTAGATGACCTTAGGTATTTAGATAAATTTTTTTCAACTTTTAGCAGTCCAGCCCAGTTATCCACATCATGGTTTAATCACGTTAGACATATTCTGTTATTGAAAAAAATTAACTTACATTTAACTTATCTTAATTCATTAAGTACCAGCAGTGATAGGCTTAAGTCATTTTTAAATTCTAAAAAATAGCATTTAAAAGCATAATTTTTATAATTATTAAAGTAACTATTAAATAATTATTTTTGTGCTACTATCCAGCCTTTGACGATTTTTTCATTATAAAGCTCTTCCAAGCGTGACGCAAAGCGCATAATCCACTTGTGTTGAAAGCATTCATTACTGGTCAATCGTTTATCTGGGTTAACCTGAAGAAGTTTGGAAACAAAATCTTTTCCTTTTGAAGAAACCTTATTCCATTCCTCGGTTTCCAGAAAAATCTTACCATTGCTCGCATTTATGGCAGTTTGCTTAACGTTATTTTCATCAAAAAAAGGTGAAATACCTAAAACGGTGTTGGTGTATGGTTAAAAAAACTAAAACTGATCAAACAAACCTGTAAATAGAATATGAACAATTACACCCAAACTCCACATATCGCATAAAAGATTATAGCCATCAAAACCTTTAGATCTACTAAATCCAACCTCCGGTGCACTATACTCGGGCGTTCCGATCACGGTAGACATCTTGGATCTAGATTCTGAAAGCGTTTTTGCAATTCCAAAATCTCCTAAAACCACTCTTGATCCTGGAAAAGGTGATTCTAGCAAAATATTGTCAAGCTATTTATGTTAAAATTATTATTAACCAAACAAAAGATGTCCTACCTTTAGGTCTCTGTGGGCAATACACAAAGAATGTAAGTATTGTAGAGCATGTAGAATTTGATAGCATATGAATAGGACCTCTGCTTCTGGAAGAGCTCGCAATGTTTCATTGGGACCAATAAGATAACTAAATAAATCACCTCCCGTCAAGCTAAATGATGTTAGAATAAAAAACTAATATTTTTCAAAAAAAATATAAAAACACCTACAGATCTTCAAATATGAACACTTTGTGATTTTTGAAAAATGTGTCACGAACAGATATAATGTTAGGCTAAAAGTTAAAAAGGTTAATAAATGGGTGACAAAAATTTTAATTGAGGAAAAGAATACGTGTGATAAATTTTTCAAAATTGATACTTCTACTGACTGACGAAAACCATGAGTAGAAGTAGGTTTCGAAACTTTACAGGCTATATGCTCTCCTGTTTTTGTATATGCCAGCAATACCTCGCCAAAAGCCCCCTTTCCAATAATGCGTTTTGATACTTCATAATCCCCTATTTTTTCTTTAGTAGCTTCAATAAGAGAAGATTTTTCAGATTTGAAAATCGAATTTTCAATATACGAAAATTGGTATACATTGGATAGCCCTAAATAAAATATTCAAATTAATTTACAATAACTTTTCTTAGATTTTTTAATTAAAATTTATATCATACCAATAGAATCACCATGCGATAAAAGAACAGTATGTTGTCGACCAATAAGTATACCATTTAAAAAAGTTCCATTAAGACTTGTATCTTGGCAATATACCATTGGTGAAGAAGAAGGGTCAAATTGAATAACGTAAATTTTACAATGAAATCCACTTATTGCTTCGTCAGGAAATCTTTTTGTGCTAATTAAAATAAACTCGTTAGTTGTGACATTAAATAATTTAACCAACCTTAAACGAGAACAAACCAATTCGGATGACGGCCAAATAATAGCGATTCTCCAGTATAGACCGGAATAAAATCTATCGTTAAATCAGTAAATGTTTATCAATAATATATCAGTTCTTAGTTCTCACTAGCTGAATTTTTATTAATAGGGTTAAATTGAAAATAACCAGCAATGGCTTTATCTATTTGTGGGCGGAAAATATTCTATCAAAGTAATATTAGTATAACTTCTAGTATTTTTATCACTATTTTAAAAAACTGATATTTTCATATACATTTTGGCTCATCTTCAAAATTAAATGAAAAAAAACTGAAAACGACTTAAACTATTAAGTTGGTAAAAGAATTCATAGTTTTAAAAATGATAAAAAAATAACGAGATTTATATTAATTAAATAAAATTGATATCGAAAATAGAATTTTAACATGACTGAGTAATTTAATTAATAATTAATTCATTTTGTTTGAACCATTAAGGATTAAATGCTTGATTAGTAAGTATATTTATTTATCTTATCTAATAATATTAATAGTATTATCAGTGCTTGACCAAAAAAATTGGTATTGTGGTGTCCCCAAAAAAAAGGAGATGTCAGGTTCTCATAATTACTGAATAATTATTCAGTTGTCAGTTTATAGATAATTATTTAATTTGGTTCGAGAACTCTATCAATGCATTAATTATTAAAAAAAAATTTATTCAACTTAATGTCTGTTGATCTCTATCTCTATCTCTATCTATACTTTCATTTTTATTATATTCATTTTAATTTTATTTTTGGAAAATATCATAATATCTACTATCAAAAGTTATTGTACTTTATATGAAAATGAGTTTTAATTATTTTAATAAGGAATATGATTTGGAAGATTCTTCAGAAGACGAAGCTCAATATGAAGATAAAATTTTAAATCGGATTTCATTTAATTTAGATCAATTAAAAGATACGGAACAGGAAATTCTTTTACTTTTATTTCATCTTGCTGAGAGATGTACTTCTAACCAATCATATACACACCACGGAGTCTCATGTAATCAGTGTGGAATGAGTCCATTGCATGGGGTAAGATTTCGCTGTATTGAATGTCCAGATTTTGATCTTTGTAGAAATTGCCAGGTAAACCATATTCACGAAAAAGTTCACTCGTTTCTTAAAATTCAAACTACTATCCCTTTAAATTTTTCTTCTCGAGTTTTTATTCCATCTAAAACATTAGGAGTACAGAAAAAGTGTAATTCTAATGCATTACCGGAATATATAATTCAAGGGCTTCAAGCTGAACTGCTAGGTAATATATTTATATAATAATATACATAAACTAGGGAGAAAATACTAACTTTAACTAAGTTCATAGGGATGATGTGTTGGAAGCATATGAAAGATTTTCTAGCATGGCAGAAATTCATAATTCCAATGACAAAAAATTGTTTGGAATTTCAAAAAACGGACTATTAAAATTTATGAATCCTCCTATTAAAGATGAAAATTTGGCAAGTGCCAATTTCAGATATTACGATAAAAATAAGGATGGACTCATAGATTTTATTGAATATTATAAGAGTAGAAGTTTTATTTATTCATCTGAGACTAAAGACTATTATAAAGGTAAGTAAATAAATTTATTATTTTATTATTTAATTTATTAATTTAGGTTCATTCAGCTATTATACAAGGATATGATCTGAATCTTAATGGTTTTATATCTCTTGGTGATATTCGGACTTTGATAACATCCTCCTATCTACAAAAAGTTAAGTATGAAGCTTTCTCAGATGGATATTTTGAAAACTGCGAAGAATTTAGAGGGTTTGAATCTCAAAGACCTCTTTCTTCATTTTTTCCTCTTGAAAACTATGATAAATCGATAATTCCAAAAAATCCATCTTCAACAGACAAGTTGATAACTTCTTCAATTTTTTTTGATCAGTCAAATATCTTAAAATTTAGAAATTTTAGTGCCATAAAGAATATTTCTCATATAACAGGGCGGGACAATGACTTTTTGTTTGAAAAAGCGCTCAATGTCTTCATTGAAAATCTTGACAGCATAATTTTTCATCATCAAAAATTTATTAAAGTTGATGAATTCGTAAATAAAGCAATGATTTATGATGAAAGTTTTGATAATCCAGAAGGTCCCTTAGTTATTATAACAGAAAAAAAATACAATGGTTTGATTAGAATCTTAGAATCTTATTTATTTAAGGTGTAATTTTTTAGATTACTGCTTTACCGGTTTACCACTTTACGACACTGAAAGTGAGATTGAAATTGAAAAATTATTCTTTTATGGTTTAATTGATCGTTGTTAAAAATACTTATATCTTATTGTTTTTATGGGATCATGGGATCCTTTGCGGGACATGGTTTGAATGATCTTATGAGTGGTAGGCCTCACTTGAAAACATAACTCTATAATCATAGCCCCAACTGATTTCAATAACAATGGACAAAAGTCATACCCAGATCTCTCCTGTTCATTAAATTCATTTACTATTTCAATTGTAATTTATACCTAATGGCAAAATTTACAAAAATTGTAACACTCGCCTACATATTTCAGAAAATACAGACACACAGTGTGTCGTGCAAAGTTTGCTCCAAATTCAACCAAAACCTTTCTATTCATTTATTCTTTCTTAAAATTGGAAATAATATTGCTCAACCAAATTACCGAAATCGTTGCTTAAAATATAGTTAAATTCTTGTTCTCTTGTACTCTTAATGAGTACTGTAAAAGAATATATTAAGAGTTACTGCTTAATGATTATGTCTCTAGTCCCAGATCAGATAATTTGTAGAACTTAGTCCCAAGATCGTAGTTGACCGATATTCAAAATTATCTGATGATTTGAGGAAAAAAGAGGGGGAAAAGCATCTAGTTTGAAGGGAAAATGGTGCTTTTTATAGACCATTATAGGCTCATAATTTGAGATATCTATTATTTCTGTAGTTTAATTTATTAATCGGACTGATTAATCGTAAGTGACCAGTCCTGAAGCAATGATGATATTTTTTATTAAGACCATTTCAAGGTTTATATATCATTAAACAGCGGAGGTTTTTAAATATGAGATACAAGTTATACCCGTGCTACTATAATTTGCAATTAAATATTACTGCTATTTACCCGTGCTACTGCTATTCGTAATTGAATATTACTACTATTCGCAATTGAATATTACTACTATTTGCAATTAAGTATTACTGCAATTTTTAATTAAACATCACTGCTATTTACTCGTGCTACTGCAATTCGCAATTGAATATTACTGCAATTCGCAATTGAATATTACTGCTATTCGCAATTTAATATCACCCGTGCTACTGCTATTCGTAACTGCGATTGGTAACTGCTATTCGCAATTAAGTAATAGTGCTGTTGGCAATATATATACAAAAAAAAGAAAGCTAATCAAAGTCATCAAAGTGATCAGGCCCAGACTCTGTTATAATTATTATGGGTTAGAATGACGTTAGTATTGGTGTTGACATTTTTTTTTCAAAAAATGGTGGCTCGCTACGCTCACATCTAGACACTGTTGTTTAATTATGGGTTAGAATGATGATTGCATTTATGAGAGCTAAAAGGGAACTATATGCTTTCATGTGATAATTTCCATCAATTTTTTTGGGTTTACCCTAAAAAATGTACAGTTTATACAGGTTGAAGAAAAGAGAAGAAAAAGAGAAAAAGCTGGGGAAAGTAATGATTAGTAATATTGTAGTAACGGATCGAAATTTTTTCTACGGAAATGTAATATAGACAAGTTGATTACCCGTGCTACTATATAATTTGCAATTAAATATTTACCTGTGCTACTGCTATTCGTAACTGTTATTCGAATGATGTTTGTATTGTTGGTGTTGACATTTTTTTTCAAAAAATGGTGGCTCGCTACGCTCACATCTAGGCTCTGTTTCCATGAATTTTTTGGGGGTTTACCCTAAAAATGTACAGTTTATACAGCTCGAAGAAAGAGAAAAAAAGAATGGGGAAAGGATTAGTCATCTTTCAGTCAGAAACTATTTTTTTTTTTTGTGAAATGTAAAGAAGAATATGTGATATGGTGGGAGGACCTGTTATGGTAAAAATGTAACAGAGCATTAAGTGTAGTTGTAATAAACTATGGAATTGACCTTTCCAATAGCTATTCATAATGGTAGAATACCTATTCTACCATTTCTACTAGAAATTATAATTAATTAATTTAATAATGGATAACAAAGGCATATTATGCCTTCTAAAATTCTTTAATTATGACAAATAATATATACCTAATTTGTAATTCTACTTCTTTATTGGTTATTATTTCTAATCATCTAATAAAACGACTCTATAATTAATATATATTTTACCATGCTTCTTTAACTTAAATTATAACAATAACAATTTTGTCTTTTTTAATACCGAAGTATATTTATTAAAACCTATTTATTCAATAGTTAAATTAAGCAATAAGTGAAAAATGTCGTCATCTAAATGTTGCGGAAAATCTAAAGAATGCATATGTGCTCAAGAAGCTTTGTGTTCTTGTGGCTCCAAGGTATGGTTTTCTCAATGAAGGTTTAATTATATGGTTAACCTAATGATAAAAAATAGAAAGCTGGACATTGCAGCTGTGAAAGATCAGAAATTGAAAACAAGCTACCTAGCCCTTCACATTCCTGTACCTGTGGCAAAAGAAATATTGGTGAATGTACTTGCTCTCGTGCTGCGCTAGAGAATGAGTTAAAACCAGATGAAATTGATTTCACTTATGCCCATAAAAGGTAAACCAAAAATTGCTAGGTTTATTAGTTAATATATTTAAATATTTGGTTCCTTGTATTATTATTATTTATTGTATTATTATTTTAAATTTTTTATACGCTCAACGCCTTTGAATATTAGATTAAATTAGAAAACAATTTTTTTTAGCATTTCTTAAAACCGAATAATAGGAATTTTAAATTTCACAAATAATATATTAAGCATATCAGCTACTTTGGTATTCTTTATTATCAATCTTAAATAATGTATTCAAGAGCAGTTGAGTTTAAACTCAAATATATATAAATTTTTATATATTTCATTACTGTTCTCAATTCATAAACAAAATTTATCTATAGTTTTAAAAAATCATCCTGATATCGAAAATTTTTAAATATTTGACCAAATTATTAAAAGTTAAACCGATTAGTTACTTATTCATTTAATATTTTTTTACTAGATCAAGCAAATTGTGGTGATAACCGCAGACCTCGTGGTACTGATGCTCTTTGCAAGAAGATACATCGTAAAAAGCTTGCTAAGCATTCTCCTAATCACGACAGCAACGATAGTTCTACAGATGATAACAACATCAATATCGACATAGATAGCGATAGTGACAGAGATAGAAATGATAACAATCGCCGCAAACCTACTGTGACAACATTTTCTGGCTGCAGAACGTGTGGTACCACTGCAGCTGCAACTGGTGTGGCATTAGCAACTTGGAGTGCAAACTCGTCTACTTCTGTCGCCAATGTTTAAGGGTACTATTCCTAAAATTCTCCCATTTTTCTATCTTTAACTTTTTGATAATTTTTTTTTTTTTTTTGAAACTTGTGAAAATCAGTGGGTATTGATTAATTAACCAAAAAACAAACTTATAAGTTTATTTTTTTTTTTAAATATTATGTAGCTAGCCTAATTACATCACATCACTATCCCGTCTCTTGTTTTTCTCATTCCGTAAGTTACACTATAAGATAAAACTCTGTTTTCTCTCAATGCGTGACTAAACAAACAAACCCGCTTGGACCTGCTTTATCAACCGTACTGGCTTGTAAAGGTGGTGCGCCCATTATTTTTTTGTAGCTCTGGAGAATCATTGCATCTGGCACACCGTCATAAAAAGATAAAAACTACACCACTCAATTAAGTAGTTATGACTAATTATCATATATATATATATATATATATATAACATCATCTGCAACTATATATATTTTTGAAAAAACATATATGCCATCACTCTGAATTCCAATTGACTTAAAAATCCTTCACAGGCCAAGTAAAGTAAACAAGTAAACAAGTAAACAAGTAAACAAGTAAACAAGTAAACAAGTAAACAAGTAAACAAGTAAACAAGTAAACAAGTAAACAAGTAAACAAGTAAACAAGTAAACAAGTAAACAAGTAAACAAGTAAACAAGTAAACAAGTAAACAAGTAAACAAGTAAACAAGTAAACAAGTAAACAAGTAAACAAGTAAACAAGTAAACAAGTAAACAAGTAAACAAGTAAACAAGTAAACAAGTAAACAAGTAAACAAGTAAACTATTTCCTCTATATTTTAGAAGGATGCTTTTTACTTTATCATCGAAAAGTTTTTATATTTTTTCTCTAAATAACATCAATTGTTATACATTTATATAAACTTTATTCAGCATTAATCATTTTGGATAATTGGTAAGTAATACCTTAAAAATATTTTCTTGTATACTTATGCAACAAATTCACGTGATATAAAATGAGTTCACAAAAAATTTTAAATTTCCGGATTTTCGACCCCTAAATATTTTTTGGTCTAAAGCAAAGAGTTGTGTTATTTTAAAAAATATCAGCTATTTGCCACTAGAATGGAACTAAATAATAATACTGAGGGCTCTGGATTTGTTCCCTCAAAAGAGCAAAAGTTGAGCGAAATTGACGAAGGAGAATTTTTTGTTAACTCTCATAGAAAAGTACGCACATTAACTGAAAAGCAACAAATTAATCTTCTTCAATATTTTGAAGACCAAACACTTCATATACAACGTCGCTTTGTGTCACGATTGAGCCCGCCTAATGGTTATGCGACAATATCTGAACTTATTTTTGATCTCAACAAATTGATAGGTGTAATATGGTATTCAATTGTTTCAAGTGAACCCGGTGACGAGTCGAATGTTCTGTCTATAGTAATTGAAGAAACTTCACAACTCAAACTTTTTGGGCAAACCAGCCATCTTCTTACAATTTCTGATAATTTAATTGATTATATTGAAGGGTTTATACATGAATTGGATCCAGAAAAAATCTTAGAAACTATTTTAAAGCTTGACAAAATATTCTGCAATTTATTAGATTCGGAAGCGCTTACTAGAACAGAGATAGTGAGATTAGAATCCATTGCTGAAAGAACTAGAATCGCTGTTGCTCTTGCATTTGAAAATATCACAGGCTATGAAACAGAGATAGGAGAAGTTTATGAAAATGTACTTAATCGTATTACTTAAATACATTTATTGTATATTAAGTAATATATGTATGGGCTTTTTTAGGTGGTGAATTTTATGACAGGAGTTTGTCACCAAATAAAGCCTACTGAAAGAGGGGCTTATACAAGCATAAAACTTTATCTCGAATATATTAAAAATGACTATGTTACTGAGGAATTTCTAGATTCTGCGTACGTTGACCACGTTCATTTAATCCAAACAAATAAAGTAACTCTCGTTCATCTAAGCGAGACATGCCTTTCATCTGTTTTTCATCTAATGCTGCATCAATCAGGTCTCTTTTCTTTTCTTGCAATTTCAAAATGCGATCTTCAACTGAGTTTGCAATAATTAAACGATGAACATTGACCGGGAACTTTTGACCAATTCTATAAGCACGGTCCATAGCTTGTTCTTCAACGAAAGGATTCCAAAAAGGATCCATAATAATGACATGACACGCAGCTGTTAAAGTCAGTCCAACATTTCCAGCCTTTAAACTAATAAGTAAAACTGAAGGATCAGGTTTCCATGTAAAATCATCAATGGTCTTCGCTCGTAATTCTGATGACATAGAACCATCATAACGTCCATAAACAACATTTTGAGATTCTAAATCAAGCGCAACTTCGAGGAAATCAAGCATACTCATAAATTGAGAAAACACAAGAATTTTTTGACCAGGGTAATTTAACCGGATACTTTTTATTAGTTCAATGCATTTGGTGATTTTTGTGGAAGAAATCCATCCATCAGGAAATAATTGCCGCAGCTCTTCGTGAATTAATAAAGGTCCTAGACTGTTTTGATGCTCTTCAATTTTAGATTTTTTTTTGTATCTATTTTTCAAACTCAATTTGATCTCAGGAATATCTGGATCCGATTTAACAACGGGAATTTCTGATTTCAATTCAGGTTTAACATCATTTAGATTCTCCGTCTCACTCAACATGTGTTTCTGTGGAGTTTCCTTTTTATGGGATGCTTTTGGCGCAAAAATATCTTCATCGTCATCACTATCTATATTGGAAGAAATGTCGCTTTCGTCATCATTGTCTGGATATTTTGATGTTTCATTTTCTAAAACAGAGTTGTATACCTGACTAGAATCAACAGAAGCTAATTGTGACTTCTCTTCAGGATTTTGAGACCGATACATCTTTCGATATGATGCAATCTGACTATCACTCAAATTTTGAATATAAATCCATTTAAAAACAATAAAATCAAAAAATGACTTTTCAGAAATGGCAATATTACAACTTGGGCATCTGAATGAACTTTGGACTTCGTCGCTACTTGTCTGAAATGACTCAGTACAACAGTCACTACAAATATGATGACCACATGGAGAAATAAGCACAACATCAGAACGATCACAAGCATCCATACACATTGGGCATTGAAAGGCTGCCTCTTGTTTTATTCGTTGTACCACTTGTTTGTTGAGATTTCTAGCACATCGAACAGCAGAAACACTTGTCCTAGATGTCAAAAGTTCTTTGTCCTTTATAAGATATGCCCTCTCAACAATTTTAGGATGGTCACATGCTTGGCGAAGCCGGAGAAGCAGAACTAATATACTGCTGTAATTCTTTTTAATAGAGTTATCGCTAAGATACTTGTTCATTCGAATGATAGCACCATTTTCAAGGTATTCATAATATTCTTGTTCGTCAGGATCAAAACTGTAAGATTCCATTGTGATGGTTTTAGGGGGTAGCTGTAAAATTGGCTTGTTGTCAATAAGAGTATTTTTCGTACGGCGCAACATAATTGATTTAAGTAGATATCGCAATTTTTTTAAGGCTTCCTGTCCATTTTTTTTCAATCCTTTCTCTAAAGGCTTACCAATATGAATGCTGAAAAAACGAGGGTCATCGTAGGGCTTAATTCGAAGAAATCGGATCAAACTTTGAAGTTCGTTGACATTATTTTGCATCGGCGTTCCACTCAAACACCATCGATATTCTGCTTCGAGACGTGTGCAAGATATTGCTGTTCCCGTTTTCCCATTTTTAATACGATGAGCCTCATCAAGGATTATTCGATACCATTGTGATTGGTTCTGAAAAAAAGGTGAGTTTCCAGCAATTTTTTCTATATTTGGATTGTCTCTATCTTTTACTTTTGTAAAATGTTCTTTATGTTCGTTCATAATGACCCCATATGACGTGATCACCACATCAAATCGATTAAGTTGTTCAAATGTATAATTTTTGCGAGTTAATCCATGGTGAACGTAAATACTTAAACGATGATCGGGAACAACATGCTTTTCGAACTCTTTCTCCCATTGTTGCAATAAAGCTACAGGAGCAATAACAAGTGTTGTTTTACGCTGAGGGTTATCGGAAGGGTGAGTCATAACCAAAGATCTTAAATAAGTTAGTAACAATTAATCAATATAAATGTATTTACTCACATTATTTGAAGGGTTTTACCAAGACCCATATCATCAGCTAGAATCCCACCATGCAAAGAATTTTCTTTATTGACAAGCCATTTTAAACAAATCTTTTGGTGTTCATAAAGTGTTGAAGCCAAACATTGCGGGGTGCCAATTCTATCTTCAGGACTAACATCATCATCTTCATATATCATTTCATTGATAAGTTTCTCTAGTTCTTTTCTATCAAGATCTGCTACACCACTTAAAGTTGAAAGATTAGAACTAGAGTCATCTCGTTCAAATAAACTTGATCTTCGTGATGAATAATCCATAGTGTTCCCATTGCTTGTAGAAACAGAGAGTTGCTGATTTGGAAGTAAATTTTGAGGATGAGTAGACATAGTTGACTTATTAAAATTTGATGCTGGAGCAGAAGACCTCTCCAACATCCGATTGCTACTATTCCGAGCTGCTTCGTTCATTCGGTTGATGCTATCTTCGAGCTTGGCGTAATATTCTTTATAGTTAATCATTTTTTTGGAATAAATTTTGATTAATTCATTTATAATCATTTCTTTAAATCTTGAGTATAAGCTCTTTTTTTCCCACAGGAGTTTAGAATTGGTAACGAAATATGCTTTTTGTGATATGTCAGATGATGAATCGGTAAGATTATCAATGTTGGATTGAATTTGTTTCCATTGAGATGTTGTATTCTCATACCAATTAGAAAACTTTTCTTTTTCAGACACAAGTTTTTGAATAGCTTTATCAACATAGCTTTTTTGATTACTATTGAGTGTTGGGTATATGCTTTGCTTAAATGCCAGTTCTCGTACATTCAGTAAAGCTTGTCCTCCAATTGGAAGGGGATCAGGTTTAATTTTTTTATTTGGAGAGTCTATGGTATTAAATTGAGATGGGACGTCATCTTTAGTCAAATCGATTAAAGCTGAACCACTGTTGTAATCATTTCGTTTACCTAAGACAGATCCGTTAGTGTTATTAGGATTAATATGAAGTGACGTTGCGGTATTGGAGGTTATCTCGTCATCACTATCTAACTCAACTATCTCTATTGGCTGTTTCCCAACAATATTTTGTTGGAGAGGGCTTTTCCAGCTGTTATCTTTTTGTTGCATCATAAATTTTACATGATCTGAAGGAGATGAATTTTCAATATTTGAGGATAAAGAAAGTGATGGGTTGGTAGTTTGTAAAACAAAACCCGACTGATTTTGTGGGCGTGTTGGGATATTTAGGGCCTGTGTATTTGACCCTGAGTTGTTAATATTTATAAATAAGGAACTGTTAGATGATGATCCAGTTGGAAAAGATTGGATTCTGTCCTGTTGATCAGGAAATCTAGAAAGAGTGTTTCTAGAGGAGATTTTAGAAACTCCTGCAGTATCATTTTCCGATGATGAATAAGTTAACGTGCTATCTGAGATCATAGGTGTCAAATCATTTTTGTTAAAGCTTGGAAATCCTGTATTTTCCTTATTTTTTGCAACATCTGAGTGATAATGAGAAGTTGGAAGTGACAGTTCAATGCCTGTAGATTTCTTAAGACTTTTTATTTCATTTTCAAGTGCATTAAGCTGAAAAAGATACTGACCAAGAATATTAACGTAATCAGGATGAGAAGGATTAAGAGTTGATGTTTTTTGCTGGATAAGGTCTCTTTCAGCTATTTTAGAAGCTAACGACATGTTTGAAGAAATAGCTTTTTAGTCACTCAAGCTATTACAATTAAAATATGTAAGTTAGCTATGATACCTTTATTTGGAATTCTAATTTATATTATTTGGCAAAAGCACTAATATTTAAAGAAATCTATAACCTTTTTTTTAAAGTGATGGTGAATAGGTTTTAAGTTTTATATATAAAAAATTACAAGTGTATCAAAAAAGTAAATAAATTTATAAATATAAATGAATAATGAATAATGAATAATGAATAATGAATAATGAATAATGAATAATGAATAATGAATAATGAATAATGAATAATGAATAATGAATAATGAATAATGAATAATGAATAATGAATAATGAATAATAGGTAAATAATAATATTAAGCTTATATAAGCAGATAAACCTATTAAATAAAAAAATACAGAGAAATTGAAAATCAGCCTTAGGTAATTATTTAGTCAGACAAAAACCATTACATAACTATTTACATAACATTAAAATGGTTGATTTTGAAAATTTTAACTATTAAAGATGGACTTGAAAAATCAACCACTAAAATTAGAGGATCTAGTGATTCAAAAGGTATGTGCGAAATTACATCACGCATTGACAAATTGTTAACATCGTTAAAAATATTAAAGTACCTACTATACGTTTATTTAATAACTAAGTTCATGACTACAAAAAAAATAAAAAAAAGTTCATGAAAAGCTAAATAAAAAATGTTGATGACTTTGTCTTCTAAAAGGGCACCGCTTTGTTTGTCTCTTCAAAGGCATTCTGCTAATAAAATGAAAGCTGTAATATCATTCTATCTATCTTCTCAACACTTTTTTACTACTTCAGCAAATCGGTCACTCCATGATTCTTTTAAATCGGAATACATTTTTCCCGAATCAAGCTTATCTACCGGACTATATGACTCAACTTTTTTAAAACATCCCGGTGAGGTTATTCCTAAGTTTGATAAGTTATATTCTGAATATATTAATAGAGGTTACCTTAAGGAAAGCTTAGCGGACGAACAAAGATTAGATGACAACTCCAATATTGTGAGGTTATTACATTCAATTCATCAAAAAGATTATTCTGCTACATGGAAGGAATTTCGAAGTATTTACACCGATGACATGGCATATCTCCGCTGTATTCCAAGAATTCAATGGGGATTTTTGTTAAATATGATTGCATCTAACATACCAGCTGATAAAAATGCATGGAAAAAAATAAATATTGTTTTTCAATCAATGATTAAAATTGGATACCAGCCTACATCTATTGAATACTCAAAAATAATCAAAACAGCTGCAAAAACTCGAAACCAAGACATTGTGGAACAAATTTGGAAATATATTCGTTCCTCAAATGTTGAAATTTCAACAGACTTATGGAACAGTTATATTCGTGCTACCTGTAATGCAGATGAAACATTATGGTATCGTCGATTTAACAGAAACACTAACTGCGAATCAAAAAAAATTCAAAAAGAGCCGATTGCTACAAATCATGCGGTTAATCTTGTTACGCAAATGATTGAGGAAGGAGTTACCCCTAATTCTCGGACCTTTGAGCTTGTTATTCTCTACCTTGGACAGGCCGGCGAGTTAGATTATGTCAAGTCATTAATTCACTCTCTTTGGGGCGTTTCTTTGAATTGTTCACGAGAAGAAGCTGATGTGGTAAAGTTACACACTGGTGATCTTAACTATCCCACTATTACAACTCTTTCCTCTATCATAAACTCATTTGGGGTTTCAAACCAATTTTTGATAGGATTACAAATTATGGAAAGAATACAAAAGCAATACAATATTGTGCTTGATGGTAGTTCTGCTTCACTTCAACTCTGGAAATCAATGATGAGATGGGCCTTTTGGACCAGTGAACCTTGGGGGAACACTTCTCCGTTTGCTTTAGAATTGGTCTGGAAGACAATAATAGAGACAAATAAAATCCAGCCAAGTGGAAGCATGATTCATTATAAAATTTTAAGAGAATTGTGCCGCAGAGATTATGATTCAGCTGCGAGTATGATACCAATGTTTTTCGAGTCTTCTAATGTTAAATATCCAGATCAGCATGTTGTACAATCATTGAAAAAAGTTGCTAGAGGGTATATTCGTATTGGAAACGATGATAAGTGTGTGAGCTTATTAAAAAAATATGAGTCTTTCCCAGGAATTTACCAAGAAGTTTTTGACGATATCCAGCGGTATAATAAACCCTCTGTTTATGGAAAGTTTTCTTCTGATATTTTAGCTTTGGAACATTTTGAAGCTGCAGCAGACGAATTATACAATGTTGAAGACTCAGATTTACTTTAAAAACATTCTAAAATGTAAATTTAGCAAGATAATTATTTTGCTTCAATATTTTGATGTTTACTACTCTATATGTTTTAGAAACCTAAATTGTATTCTTCATCTAAAAGATTAATATCATTAACAACCATATATCTTGAAAATATGGTCCATGCATAGCGAAACCATTTCATTTGAGAGACATGAGCCTTAGTCATAGCAGAAAGTGTTTTAGAATATTCCTCGAAACTAGAAACAATTGTAAAAGACTTCTTTTTTAAGGCTTCTTCGCTTGCGAAATATGATAAATAGCTAATGAAAGAATCAAGCACAAAAATATATTTTCGGTAAATCGGTACTGATTTTAATGTCCATACATGGTATTTTGTACTAACAACATTTTGGGGTAAAATACTTTCCTCCTCGCGTTTTGTAGTAGAACCACCATTTTCTGGTTTAAAAGAGTAAGCAGCAATTCGTGATTCATCAGACAATAATTTTGCTGCATGAAAAAGAGCTCTGTGATTTGCATGTCCAGATACTCCAAAGTAATCAAATGTTAAAATATTAATGGAGTCTTTATTCTCAGGTGAAATGTATGACTCTATGATATCTTTTGTATGCAGAGCTAAAAGTGTGGAATTCCATTCAACAGTCATCGAATCAGGAAATATATTTGGTTTATCAACGATCTGAAGAAGGTTTACCGGATTTTTTTCGGATCCAAAATAAGAAACTGCTGCTTCAAGCTCGGCTTTGCGAACGTGCCCAATACCTTCATTATCACCTGTTGAAAAACATATGATATTTACACTTACATTATTTTTGCTAAGGCGATGTAAAGTTGGTCCAAAAAACATGGATTCGTCGTCCGGGTGAGCCGTTAAAAGAAAAACATTTGAATTAGGGAAGTTTCCTGTAAATACTGAGGGTGGATATAAAACCAAAGCAAATGTCCAAAGAAAAGATGGTATAAGCATACCAATAATAAGGATATGGGCACCATTAGGAAAAATCCGTGGACGTGTATCACGGTTACCATCACGGTTACCAGTGGTATTTCGATTATTTAAATGTCGCCGTAATCTTCGGAAAAACATTTTTATTCTGCTATCCTACAAAAGAAAAAAAAATGATGTAACAAATAGTATTGGTATTGAACACAAGCTTAGCAAATTTATAAATTAAATGTGATTGCCTTTAAATTATAATTTTAAGGCAATTATGTGTATTGTGGAATACCTGTTGTAACGTAATTACGTTACATAAAATTTAGACTATCTGATCCTTTTTGTAATAATTAGAGTATTTAGCGTAGAAAAATAAATGGCACATAAAATATTATTTCGCTTCAATGGGAAATAGATGCCAGCACGAATTAGAAGCCAGAAATGAAGATTTTCTTCACAGAACAATAATGTTTAATTATGTTTAATAACAACCACTACAGTGATTTTTGCTTTGTTACAAAAAAAAAAGGTGTTACCCTACCTATATCTAGTCATCTTGGATTCCTCTTCATGTAGACATGACCAAGCATAAAAAGTCATCAAAAACCAATTCAGAAAATTCAAAAATGACATTCAAAACAATCTATCCGGGAATTACAAAAGCTCATCATGACTCCTTTGGTCGTCTGCTTCAAAATAATGAAGTTTTTACAATTTGGTGATTTTAGATATGGAATCAGGGTTAAGTTATCGACACTCAATGAACTCAGTTTTTTCTTCTTACTTAAACCAAAATCAAATTAGGCAAAAACGTGAATTTTATATGTACCACATTTTTTTCTTGGGTAACATAATCTTAGATTTGTAGTAACAATATTAATCAAATATGACGTAATAAGCATTAAGGTTGCTTGCTTTATGTGTATTTTTTTTTAGAAACTTAAAAGGTCAATTTTAATAATAAAACAACAAAATACAATCTGACTGATTTTTTAATATTCTTTCCCATTTATTTTATAAAATAATTATTAACTCGATAACTCGATAACTCGATAACTCGATAACTCGATAACTCGATTTTCTTTTGTTTTTTTTAAATTTTTTTTAATCTTAAAACAAAAGACCTAACTTGTGGCTTACGGAACCATGGCTGAATTTATTCGGTTAGTCTAATTTTAACCTAAAGTTTTATTATTATAATTAATATTTTTGAATTCTAGAACAGAAATTTTTGGAACGTGCTTTGAGATAACAAGTAGATATGCTGATTTGAATCCAGTCGGAATGGGAGCTTTTGGGCTTGTTTGGTATGTGTGGGTGTGTGTGGGTGTTTTTTTTTCTAACACAAATGCAGCTCTGCCAAAGATCAACTCACAGATCAAAATGTTGCAATCAAAAAGATACTGAAGCCTTTTAGCACACCAGTTCTTGCTAAACGAACATACCGGGAGTTGCGATTGCTTAAGCAATTGCAACATGAAAATCTTATTAGTCTCCGTGACATATTTATCTCTCCATTAGAAGATATTTATTTCGTTACTGAGCTACTTGGCACTGATCTTCATAGGCTACTAACATCTAGGCCTCTCGAAAAACAATTTATTCAATACTTTTTATATCAAATTTTGGTACGCAAATCTACTATTTTTTTTAGTATGTCTAACAGATTATTTAGCGAGGTTTAAAGTACGTTCATTCTGCCGGAGTAGTTCATAGAGATTTGAAACCTTCTAATATTCTTATCAACGAAAATTGCGATCTCAAAATTTGCGATTTTGGTTTAGCTAGAATCCAGGACACACAAATGACTGGTTATGTTTCAACTCGCTATTACCGTGCACCTGAAATCATGTTGACTTGGCAAAAATATGACACTGAGGTAGATATATGGAGTGCTGGTTGCATATTTGCAGAGATGCTAGAAGGAAAACCTTTGTTTCCGGGGAAGGATCATGTTCATCAATTTTCTATTATTACAGAGCTTTTGGGTTCGCCTCCAGATGATGTCATTGATTCTATCGGCTCTGAAAATACCCTGCGATTTGTACGATCTCTTCCAAAGAAAGAGCCGGTGTCATTTGCTACAAACTTCAAAAACGCAGATGCTGAAGCCATCGACCTTCTCGAGAAGATGCTTACGTTTGATCCTAGAAAGCGAATATGTGCAGCCGATGCTCTGGCTCATCCATATCTGGCGCGCTACCATGATCCTAATGACGAACCGACAGCTGCCGTGGCATTTGATTGGTCCTTCAATGAAGCAGATTTTCCGATTGACACCTGGAAGGTCATGATGTATTCCGAAATTGTTGATTTTCACAAGGTTGATCATGCAACTCTTCAACATGACCTTAATGGAGCACCGATTCAAACAGAGGCTTTGCGGTAACTTCCACTGTTAGTTTATTTTTATATTAAAATTACAGTAAACTATATATACACTTAATTCGTTATTGTTTCTTCATCATCGTGAATCAAACCTCCTTGCTTGGCTAAAGAGTAAAATAGCGATTCCTTGTTTTTAAGAAGCGCTTGTGGGGAAGCAAACTCAACCACACGACCTTCACTAAGTACGGCAATCCGGTCGCTATCAATAATAGTATTCAATCGGTGCGCAATCGTAAGAATAGTTCTATCTTTAAATTCATCGCGAATAGTTTTTTGAATGAGCTGATCAGTCTCAACATCAACAGCAGCAGTAGCTTCATCAAGAATTAATACATTTGACCGAGTTAAAGCAGCCCGAGCAATTGCAAGTAGCTGTTTTTGACCAAAAGAAAGGTTTGCACCATCCTCAGCAACAATAGCTTCTAATCCACCTTCCATATTAGTTTCAACATGAGTCTTTAGGTGAGCCAATTCAAGTACTCTCCAAAGTTCAACGTCATCATGTTCGTGATTCGGATCTAGATTGTCGCGCAAACTACCTTCAAAGGTTTGAGCTTCTTGAGGGATAATTGATAAGCCGTGACGCAAATCACTTAAACCAATTTTGGAAATGTCAATAGTATCGATTTCAATATTACCAGTAGAGGGCTCAAAAATTCGAAATAATGCTAATGTTATACTAGATTTACCGGCTCCTGTGCGCCCCACAATACCAATCTTTTCTTTTGGTTTAATTTTTAAATTAATGTCTTTCAAAATAAGTTCCAATTCAGGGCGATACCTGGCCGAATAATGGTTAAACTCAATAGCACCATCTTCTGGCCAGCCATGAGGTGGACGGCAATTTTCAATAATAGGAGGTGCTTCGGCAGGCAAATTCGAATATTCCAATACACGCTCAACAGACACAATATTGGTTTCGACTTCAACATTCATACGAACAATCCAATTAAGAGATTGTGTTATTTGTAAAGCATATGACATGGCTAAACCAATAGTTCCTGCTGTAACATGACCAGTACCAATCATTAAAATTGATAGACCTGATGCGCACAAAATAATTACTGAACCTAAAAATTCAAGTCTAACAGCCAACCAGCGATTTGCACTAATAGATGGAAAATAAGCTTTGAAATTAAAATCAAGAGAAGATTCATTTATAAATGAAAATCTGTCTTGTTGGCCATAGGCACGAATAGTACTTAATCCAGCCAAAGTTTCTTGGAAATGTGCATAAATAGGACTTTTTGAGACTGACTCGAGTCTCTTAAGCTCACGAGATGTGCGAAGATAATACCTTTGATAATAAATATACATGAAACCCAAAGGCCCGATAAGTAATAAAAACGGTGGGGTATTGTAAATGATAATAGCCAGTGTCATCGTGACAGAAAGGGAGTTTGCAAAAAACTGAGAAAACACACGAGCCATCATAGAATCAATCCGGTTAATGTCATTATTAAATCGATTAAGCGTGCGACCTATCGGAGAAGCCCAGTGCCATTGCATTGGGGCCCGAATAACAGAGTTTAGCATTCGACGATGTAACGTTTTTGCAGCTTGAATACTACACCCAATCATCAAGATCAATGTATATGTGACAGAAGAAAGCGATGCAGAAATACAGATGGCAAAATAAACTCCAAGATAAAATCCTAAATTCTTGTTTGAGCCGGTACGGGAATTTTCTTCAGACCAGTGTTTGAGCCAAAATCCAGAAGAGACAGAACAAATTGAGGCAAGTACCATAAAGAAAAAAACAAAAAAAACAGCAACAGGGTTACATGCACGTGCATATTCTTTATACACTTCCCATTTGACCTTGCCTTGTTCGGAGTGTTCTTTAGTCATCTTAGTGCGTTTGTTCTGCTCTTCATCATCAATATGAATTCGTTTAAAACTTGATGCACTAGCACGTCTTAGTGTGTTTGCAGAAGATCGACGCTTCATAATTGGAATAGGTTGTTCGTTTTCAAAATCTTCGATTGTTGTTGGGGTAGTTGACCCCGAGACTGGAAGAGAACTTTCGGAAATAGATGGTGCAGAAGGTGATTTCCTTTTTCCAAACTCTTTAAGCAAACTATAAATATTACTTTTGTTTTCCATCACCTCACTGTAGGTTCCGGTTTCAATAATACGACCATCAGAGACCATTGTGATAGAATCTGCATGTGAAAGAACGGGTATAGAATTGGTACATAGTACTCGACACTTTGTAGCTAATAGACCCGAATCACCTAAAACATTATCGATAATATGTGCACCAACATGTTCGTCAACAGCAGAAAGAACATCATCTAACAAATAGATGTCAGCACGAGCATAAACAGCACGAGCAAGTGATAAACGAGCCTTTTGTCCACCGGAAAGAGATATGCCTTTTTCTCCGACAAATGTATTGTCTCCATCTGGAAGAATTGCAAGGTCATCCAATAGTGCACAAGCCTCGATCGTGCGCTGATAAAAGTCGGGATCAAACTTAGAGCCGAATAATATGTTTTCTTTTATAGTTGCATTCATAATCCATGGACCTTGTGCAACATAAGCAATATGACCCTTGACAGTTACAAGGCCTTCAGACTTATGTAAATCTCCTAACATCGCCTGTAATAGAGCAGATTTTCCCGAACCAACTTTCCCAACAATACAGTTTAGTTGGTTTTTGTAGGCTTTAAAGTTAATGTCAGTTAGTGCAACTTTTATAGCCGGGCTGCGTTGCCACAAAAAAGTTCCATGTTCGATAGTCAGGGCTTCCTCGTTTTTGCTTGTAGCTTTGTCAAGGTGAATTGTACAATCAGGCTGTATTTCATCCATTGTGACATAATCAACAATTCTTTTAGCACTGACGTTAGCCTCTATTATAGATGACAAAACCATAGGTATGATTGCAAGAGGAAATGTAAGCAAATCTGAAAAGTTAGTAAACGATTATAGCGAATAAATGATATGACTTACTAAACAGATTAAGGCAAGGAAATACAATATCTGTGGTCAATGGAACGTTGCTGGTGAGAGAGTACACTGCAAATGTAGAACAGGAAACCATGAAGGGTGTTGATGTCCAAAGAAAATTAACCACTGACATAAATTCTCCTATAAATTTGAGGTTTTTTAACTCTTGCTGTTCTCGGATAAAATTCAAGCGATTCGTGAAAGGGATTTCCCAAGAGTATAGTTTGAGACTTTTGATGTTGTTTAAAAGCTCCTGAGTAATACGAACACGCTTGTCCTTAATCTTCATTTGTTTCTGTTGAAGAGAACGAGCTTTTTTTGCAACTGGAGTTTGAATAATAAAATTAATGACCATAACAATAACACCAGCCCACATGGCATTTCCGACTAAATGATGAAGAGACACAAGACAAAGAATAATTTGAAAGGGTGCAGACCAAAGAGATTGAAGATAAGTAGTAACATCCTGAAGACGCTGGGTATCAATGGCCATAAGATTTACAATCTCCCCGGTGGATTTTTTTGCTCGGTCTTCCGTAGAAAGCACAAGGGTTTTAGAAAAAACTGTGGACGTTAAAGCACCTCTAATTTGTAAACCAAAGTTGAAAGAACGTTGAAAATATGCTTGTAAAGCAGCTGTCTGTAATATAGAAAGAATAAACATAGAGACTAAACTGTTAAAAAATAATAGCAGTAAAATCACTTTTTATACTTACGAGAAATAACCAATCCTTTTGTTATATTTGCTCCTGGTTTACCTAAAGAGTAATCATTGACAAACTGAATTAAAAGGCGTAGCAATTGAGGTTGTGTAAATGCAAGTACATCTTGTATGAATTTGAAGCATCCACCAATAAAGTATTCAAAACCAAAAGATTTTACCAGAGCAGTAACTAACGATGGATACTTATTTGCCAAAAGTTGTTGTTGCCAGTGTTTGGCAAAGACTGAAGATGTGTATCTAGTTGAACTTTCAGTTGGAAGTTGGGGCAAGTCTTCAGCTGTCAAAAAAACCTCGTAGCCACGTTTCATAAGTGGAGCCATCCAAGAAAACGTAATTCGGGAAAAAATATCAGCGGATTCGAGAGGACTCTTGTGAAAAATAGATTCATATGCAGGATCTGATGCCCAAATTTTTGGAATAATCCATTCCAAAAGAAATAGAAAAACAGAATTAGTGAAAAGAAACGCATTAAGTATAAATATTGGAGAAGATAACGTTTTGACATTAAGCGCAACATGATATGTTTTAATAAATGTTGCAATTATTTCAAAAAGCCAGTAAAAAAGAAGAGCACCAGAAGGAACAAAAAGTGAGCGTTCTACCCAATGAAGTGCAAGGCCAACAAAAAGACATAGAGCCGAACATAAGGGTGACAAAAATGAAATATCATATAAAGGTGACGCGAGTACGCGATAGTTAATCAGTGTAAGAGAAATAAGAAAAGCAATTTGAAGAATGACAAGAAATATTTTTAGGATTATATGCCAGTTAAGACGAGGTGAAGGAAGAGATCGTTTGGAAAGTAAATGAATCTGAATTGAACCAAATATTAGTAAAAAAAAGCTGGGAAAAATAAGAACGATGCCATCGATGAAGCAAGGCGTAAAAGCAAAATCATCATCAAAAGGGCCCCATCCCAGCTTACTATGACATAATGATGTTGGAAATCTTTGGTTTGTGTCTTTAAATGAGTAATTAGATGGTTTAAATATATTGAAGATAAATTGTGCATTTTTAATAGCAAAACTTCCATATTGAGATGGCGACGAACTGCCTACCTCCAAAAATGTCTGCTCCATTTGTATATTTAATTTATATGATAATTAGAACAGACAAGCAGATTAAAAAATAGAGTGAGCTGTTATAAATGGAAGTCTTATAATTAGACTGACCATAAAATATCCACTATTTAATAATGAATGTGGTGAAAAAGAAAAGGCATGAACGAAAGGGCAAGATCTTTTTTTCGAATAAAATTTCGAAATTTTATTTTAATTTGTAAGCACGTAAAAGAGTATTAAGATTAGGTCGCGTAGAATGAAATTCATGGTTGCGAAAAAATTTTTAAGTTTTCGGAGAACTATAGGAGTTTTTACGTCATAAATTAATAAGTGTCTCGGTGTTTCTTGTATGTTTTAATCTATTGCATTTTAAGATATTTTGAGATATTACTCTAAATATATATGGCAATATGGTTTAGATTAATATAGTTAAATTTCACTATCTTCCTCCTTTCAGCTAGCCTCCCTTCTTACCTTTGATCTTAGAATAGACTTCTTTCTCTCTTAAAATGGCTCAGCATGTTATTAAGATAATGATAGTGATTCTTCCCAGATTTCGATCTTGTCTCTAACTCAGCAAGCCTAACCTAGGCCTTAGGCTTAGCATTATTAGCATATATTGTCACGTGGTGATATATGCTAATAATGCTTACAAAAATTAATGGTGCCTTCGACAATTATGGCCACAGTCACTTGCTCGACACTAGCTTCGGGAACCACAAGATGAGGTTAAGGTCTTGGGGTTAATCCTGGGTTGTAGACCCAACTTCAAACCTCATATTTTACTCAAAAAAGAGCAGGCCATTGGCGCTTTCAATTTTTATCACCAGATTATGGTGTACTACAGATGAACATATCGGCTTTGTTTTCAAACTAACCTACAACTCCTCCATCATGACCTATGACGTAGGAGTTTGGAGGCACTACCCTCAACGTCATCAAGAAAATGTGCAATTCTATTCAGCTAATACAAAGCAGCAACATCCTTCACGGAGAAGCAGGTGTTTTCCCATCGTATATCAAGCTCGAATATCTAGCTCTAAGAACGGCTTTTCGCCTTTATGGCCCCTCGAAAACTCACAGGAACAACCTAACTAAAATCTAACTCCTGGCTGGAAGCGTTAAAGTCTAAGTCAACAAGAGATTGGAAAAAGTCAATTGCATCATCAGGGCCAGTCGGACCAAAATCGGTGCAATTCTATCCTCCAAGCGTAGTGCTCTCAATTAATGGCAGGCAGTATGAACACGCTGTCGCAACCACCGAGGCATCAAAAAGTTTCCGTTAACCATGATACAAGGACACATAGCCAAACAACAAAGTAGAAACAGATAATGATAAATTACAACTCTCAAAAACTATAGAAGGCCCCAATCACTTTCTGTCCGATATAATTCGGCTGAAAACATGACATGGCATGTTCGCCAAGTACATTGGTGAGCTCACCAAAAACGAAGATAACATACAAGACAAATACACATATCTCCCAGAGTGCAAGACTTGACAACCAAGATAGATTTTATTAAATGCTCAGTTGCCACTGGGATTTTTTTCAAGTTTAAATTTTTCTATATTGGATAAGTTTTGGTGGTGCAAAATTTTTCTCCAAGATTAATACTAGAAATTTCACGCTCTCACAGCTGGCATGATTATAATGAATCGTGATTATGAAAAATACATAATATATTCAAATTTTGTAGTACAGTAGAAATAGGGCAGAATTGTTTGTTTGTTTTTATTCAAGGGATAGAATTACATGACATTAACATTTGCGCTATCCTTTTTGTTCTATATCTTTTCGTTTTCACAATAAACTTTTAATTTAACTTCAGCATTGCATCTCCAATAGCTCAACGATAAGTTCTGATGCCATTTTACGAGGAACAGGGGACCGTAGACAAACCTTTCCTAACCAATCTCCACTTGTCTTCGTCAATTGTGTAATTGTATTTCTTAATTCTTCCAAGCAGAAATAAAGCTTACAATGAATTATTCATGGCAGAAATTATTAGATTATGTAATTTCGTTAAAAAAAAAGCAATGGTAACGATTAAAAAACCAAAGTCAGGTGGTCGGTTCTACACCCAAAGACAATTGGATACCCGTTTCCTAGACCACTGGCTTTGGTGACCAATACATTATGTTGATCAAAGACATACCAATGCAAGTTTTGGGCGGTAATTGCAAAGTATCGAGGTGCTGCTGTGCTTTCCGTCATATATCTTAATATCATCGTGGTATTAGGCGCTTGTGGACCACACCAAAACAAAATACTTCAAGTAGAGATTCATAACGGGGAATAAAAGAAGAACCCTTCAGAACTTCACAGCCGGTTTATTATATTGATTTTTTAAAACTGAGTTTTAACATTGGGTAGTACGGTATATATAAGGAGTATAATTGTAACATAATAATACAATAATAAAATTAGAGGCTTATAACCAAGGTGGTATTTTAATTAAGAAAATACAATATTTTTTCTCATTTATTTCTTAAAGAATAATTCTTTAAATTTAAAAAAATGTAATGTCAACAAAGTTACATTTTTTTTGTAACAGGGTTTAAAAAAAGGAGAGAATAGGGAAACAAAAGTTTCCCTATTCTCCCCTTTTTTTTCCACTGTTTGTTTTTTATGGCTTTATCCATTTTTTATTGAAATATTTGACCTTTTTTTTCTTGTTTATTTATTTCCAACTTAATAGATATATGTATTTATATATGTTTTTCTTGTTTCATATGCAAAACTTCATTTAACTAGTATAGATATACTCACTTGTTGTGTTTCTCCTTTTTTTGCACCTAAGCTTATACTTCAGAGTTTTTATCTTCATTTTTTAAATCACCCCCCTTTTCTTTCTTTCTTTCTTTCTTTCTTTCTTTTGTGCTTTTGTGCTTTTGTGCTTTTTTTCATCATTTTTTCCGAGCTTTAATTTTTCAAAACTTGATGATGAATGATCCCTCCTCTATACCACCAAGGGTATCCTCACGACTTTCTAACTCGGCAAAGTTATCTAATTCTATTTCAAGACGTGTCCATCGTGAATCTCGTTTTGGAGACTATATTTTGGGTTCTACTCTTGGCCAAGGCGAGTTCGGAAAAGTTAAACTAGGCTGGCGAAAAGATGGCAAACAACCTGAGCAGGTATGTTATGATTTCGAGTGTTAGTATCAATACTAATCATTGTTTGAAGGTTGCTATCAAATTAATCAGAAAGGATACCGTCCCCCCAAATTCTAATCGTGAAACAAAAGTATTCCGTGAAATTAATGCACTGAGCATTTTAACTCATCCGAACATTGTTCGTTTAGAAGAAGTGATTCAAAATGATAAATACATTGGAATAGTATTGGAATATGCTTCAGGCGGCGAACTTTTTGATCATATTATTAATCATAAGTACCTCAAAGACAACGTTGCTTGCCGTCTTTTTTCACAGCTTATTTCCGGGGTTCATTATCTTCATTCCAAAGGCATTGTTCATCGTGATTTAAAGCTTGAAAACTTACTTCTTGATAAACACAAAAATATTATGATATCTGATTTTGGTTTTGCCAACTCATTTCAATATTCCTCAGATGGTTCCATAAATGATCTCATGTCAACTAGCTGTGGATCTCCTTGCTATGCTGCACCTGAGCTTGTCATTTCAGATTCAAAATATGTTGGTCGCAAGGTTGATGTTTGGTCGTGTGGTGTAATCCTATATGCAATGCTGGCAGGGTATCTTCCATTTGACGATGACCCAGAAAACCCTGATGGCAGTAACATTACACAACTTTACAAATACATTACATCGACCCCCTTGACTTTTCCAGAGTTTGTTCAGCCTATGCCTAGAGATCTTCTTCGCAAAATTTTAGTTTCTGATCCGTTGAAACGTATCGATCTTAATAATGTTCGAAGTCATGCCTGGCTTGCCCCTCATGCACATTTTCTTTCAGTTACACCTGAAGAATGGGATAGAAGCTTTCTACATCAATCTCAAGTTCAGCAATACTTGCACAAAAGCCCAGTTAATTCTCACCAATCGCAATTACTTTCATCACAACTTTCACAACCAAAACTTCAAGAAAGCCAGCAAACTGCACCATCCTTAACAGCTTTTACTACTCCACCTCTGCCCCCTACTATTCAAGCTCCACCTCAACAAGCACTTCCTCCTTTGCCCCAAAACTTATCTCCGAACAATGGTAGCTATACTTCGACAGCTCCTTTCCGTCTTTCTTCAAATTCGGCATCGACAACTAATTCTTCTCAAATTCCGTCCTCTTCATCGACTCCTCAAAATTTGAATACTATTTCTAATTCGTCATCTTCTACTTCGTTCATTACTGCTACTTCTTCTATCCCTGCTCCTTCATTTTCTAATGCATCAACGATTCAACCCTCTACCAGTACAAACACGCCAATATCACCTTTACCAGTTTCTATGGCCATTGATTCGGATCTAGCTATAGCTTCAAATATTGCCAATCTCATACCATCTTCCAATACATTCCCTATTCACCATGCAGAACATACTAGGCCTACTTCAATGTTTGTTACTTCTACATCTTCTTATACGCGTTCTACTTCATTACAATTTGACAATCAATCTCCCACAACTACATCCTCAACTCCAACCTCCTCTAATTCTCATCAAGCTTCATCTCATCAAGCTTTGTATGTCTTACCTCCTTCAACTCAAACACAGCAGAAAGGTTTTAAGCCCATTTCAGTTCAGGCCAATACAACTCAGACAGGTTATTCTGAAAATTTTTGTGACAGATCTTCATTAATTTCTAAATCCGTTTCACCAGCTCCAACTGTTAAAGGTATATCAGATCAAAATTGCACATCATTTACAGATAGAAAAAGCTTAGATGGTTCAGACATTTCTGAAACGAAAACAAAGATATCTCAAACCCATGCAAGGAACAACTCTGTCAGTTCAGGCTCTAGCGATGAAGATGTTCAGTTTTTTGATAGTGATGGATCACCTAGTTTGGTTTTAAATTCTTCAATAGATTTATCTCAAAACCAGCTTAAACCTTCAGTCATTACAAATCAATATTCTACGGCCCATAATATAACTACAATTGATGAATCTGAAACTCCAACCAACCCGGTCGCATATTCTCAATCTTGTTCTGAAAATTCAACAATGACCGATTACAATAATGAAGAAAGAGATATGGTGGCAGGAATTTCTGAAACTTTAAGTAAATCCAAAATTTCTATGCCCTCTAATGCAGCTCGTTTACCCCCTGCCACGAGAAAACCCAGACCGACATCCCTTCAACCCTCTTACTTGTCTTATACCTCTACAGGTAGTTTTTCACTTGTAACGCCCGACTCAGGACATTCATCTATTGAAAAGCCTATGAATTTGCATTTGCAAATGCCATCCGAGCCTCGTGTTGCAATTACACCAGATTCTGCTCTTCCTGGAGAAATTTCACGACCTACTTTTAAGTCATCTGTCACTTCGAACAGTCTTGCTGGAATTGTTTCTTCTTCAAACAGACCTATATCACCCCCCATAGTTTCACCTCCTCGATCTGCATCTGAAAATCATTTGAATATACCTTCTGTTATACTACGCGAACAACACCCAAGAGATACTTTTTTCAACCAACCAAATACTAGTGCTAACATCAGCCAGCAAGATTCTGCAAAATCCACTCATTCGAATCAAACTACTAGAACAACCAGTGAATCAAACAGTCCTAACGACTCATCAACTGTTGAAAGTCAGTCTACTGCATCCTCATCTACACCTCCTATTGATGTAACTTCCCCAGTTCTTCCGACAAATTATGGCCAACCTGAAATTTACAAGAGTAAATATGCAAATGATGCTCCTTTCACTGAATTTACTCAAAGTCACCAAGGGGCTACTCAAATTGATAACATTGATGTTGAACCTATTATGCCTTCATATCCTAAAAAGTCTCATAAGCGTGCTGCCAATTCAATTTCTTATGGGTCTGATCGGTTTGTTTCTAAGTTTATGGGAAATCCTTCTTCCAATGTTTTTGAGTCGACAGGTGCGGGGAACCAAAATGGAAGTCACACTAGCATACCCGAGTCTCGAAGTCAATACTCTTCAATCACACCTGTGGTTTATGGCGCTCAACTTCAAATCCCCCCGCCAAATGATTTGAACTCACAAGAAACTATTTCTATGGGACAACACCGGCAACATCGTCAAACTAAAAGTATTGCTGGGCAGTCTTCTTCATCTATATCCTCTTCCGGGACAAAGGTTAATGGTCTTAATTCAATGTCACATGGCTATTACAATAACATAAATGCTCAGGGACCCACTATTCAAGGGCATTATGGTGCCACAACTACTTCGACAGAAAAAAAACGGTTTAGTCTGGGATTTTATACATTCGGTGGAGGAAATGATAAGTCATCCTTAAAAGCAAGTAATAATGGAAATGGAAATGGAATGTTTGGTTCTATGGGATCGTACTCGACAAAGCATGAGCGCCTTGCTCTTGAATCCGCTTCTACGAATGCTCCAAATGCTTCTCAACATCGAAGAAGTGTTTCATTGAGTAGCAATAATCAACATAGAAATAGCATTTCTCATGTAGGATCATCCACCGGAAATCGCACCAATACCCGGCCAGTATCAGCTTATTATGGTGGTGATACAACACCCATCTTTCCTCAAGGCCCTACTATGATTATGTCTGCATCTTCTAAAGCTCCGGACACTTCTCGTGCTGAACCTAAGGAGCAATCTGCTGCTCGCAAGTTTGTTGACTTCTTCAAAAGACGATCTCGCATTGTTGCATAATTTGAATTCTGTTATCAGTATTTAGAAAATATTTTTTACAAACTTGCCCCATTATTTCTATTATAAAAAAATTTGTAACATCTGCATCATATCGGTGTCATATAATTGTATACTTAATATTTACTAACTAATATAAAATAAGAATTCATTCATTTATGTACAATAAAATTATATATGTGGATAGATTTAAATGTATGAGTCTATAATCTACCTTGGAAGTGTTGATTTTGTTATTTGTTATTTGAAGAAAAAAGAAAGGGAAAAAAGAGAGGAAAGGGAAGAGAAGGGAAAGAATGGAATTCATCTTTATTGGTTGTTATCAGGCTCCATATAAGATACTCCGGCACGCGATGCTGTTGCACGAAATGATGATAACGTCTCTGGCCCATTCCCTGATTCACGCATATACTCAGATATAAGAGTATTCGACTTAACAAATTTAGCAACACATCGGTCTATGCAAACACTTTCACCCTTTGATAATTCACCCTCACCATATCGAGGCTGGATGCATTTAGATCTACATGTATACATCATTCTTTAACAAAATATTTACATTAGCATTGTATTAAAAAATGAATTCAGAAATCTAGTAGTACGTACCCATTGAAAAGTGATGTCATGTTCTGCAACTCAAGTTCGGCCATCAAAAGTCTTGCTTCATTGACCTCCAATGAGTTATAACCCATATTAAACAATGACATTTTGCAAATATGTCTATATAAGAAGTCTTGGAAAACTATGTGTTATAATCCAGAAATCGTTGACAGTAACAATATAATTTACGTAGAAAGTTTTGTAAATATTTTTGCTAATAAATCACGATCTGAAAGAATGGCGGTGGTGGATTTGCTTAAAAATCTTTAAATTGAGGAACAAAAAAATTTCACCTCCAGCCGTTTCAACACTGATATTTGTTCTCTAAATATGTATACAAGAACAAGAATAGTTACAACTACTAAAAAGCACCGATATACTAAGAACAGAATTTCAGAAATTTATCTACATATATTTAAAGAATAACACTAGAAGGATCTCTACGTTCTCCTGCTGATAGGATTGTTTATTTGTTTTTATTCAAGGGTTATAGAATTATATAACATCAGCATCTGCGCCATCCTTCTCCTGCTGATAGGAATTTTTTTTAAAATAAATTAGTTATTTGACGGATTTATATAAATAGTATATATGACATAAAATAGTCGCTCTATTAAAAAGCAAGTAGGAAAGTATTTCAATAAGTCTATTAGCAGATTGAAATTAGGCCTTTTTACAACCTTATCTTTACTATTTTCTTAATATCGTAGCAAACATATTTAAGTATTATTTTAAATAAAAATCAATTAATTAAAATTAATATCGTCAATTAAATGCTTCAAAAAATTGTTATCTTCTTATTACCCTAAATATATCTATCGCTATTATATAAAAAATTGAATCATCTAAAATTGTTTTTCAACCTAAGATACTAATTAATATTGTTCTAAAAATCATTAACCAAGTCATATCACATACCTTCCACCAACTATTGGTTTTAAACTCTTCCGGAGCAGTAGGCTTATCAGTTTGTTTTCTGAATTCACCAGTTAATCGAAAATCTCTTTCAAGTACTGATATAAAAATGTTAATATGTCAAAAGAACAACGGTAAATTGACTTACATTGACGATCCCATTTGTCTGTATTATATAAATCTCTTTTGCCACCATTTCTTGCGCTGTGGATGGAGTTCATTGCAGCACCACCGACGGTAAAAAACTAGAAAAATTAATTATTAAATTCAGTCAAATTTCTATCAGAAAAATTTAAAATAGTGATTTTATTGATAATAACTGTATCCACTCCGACTAGCCATTAACAGTATTGTGAATACGGAACACAAGAAATCATCTTCATTTTCAAGAGTTTATATACTCTCTGTGCTGTTGCTTGTTTATTTTAACAAGGCATGCTTAATTCAAAAAACGTACCACAAAAATACAGCCCCAAGGGAGCAAGGCCTCAAAAGGAATCATGTTGATTAGCTGTTAAGATACAAGGAAAAAAAGTTTTGAGAATGATAAGTTGTTACTTTAGTGTGGAGAGCAGCCAAAGTATGGATTGCGAGAAATATGAAAGACAATAGTAAATTTTGAAAGGAGAAAAAGTTATAGGTGTATGAAAGGAATTGATTTCATTGGCCAAATAATATTATTTAAATCAGTAATCAAACATATACATAATTTGTTACAACTACAATTACAACATTGATATGTTAGTAGTGGGGGTCGGAACGTTTAACAAAACACTATGTTGTTTTAAAAATTGTTGATTGATATTTAAATAATTGCTTGATATTAGGCTGATTTTACCCAATAGTTACCTGATAGACGTGATCAATGTAATGATAATGTCAACTAAAACAAATAAAAAATAATTGAAGGTATTATGTTTTATTGGCGGCAAAAAAAACTCTTAATGAGTTTATGTACTTCGGTATACTTTCTAATAATAATTATGATAATGGATTTTGGTTTTAAACAAACCATCTCCGCGGCACACCGCGGACATTATCAAACCCGATAATTAAATTAAGTACTTTCATGCGTTTGCCCCATCTTAAAAAGGTTAATTATAATAATAATTTGAATTATGTCAAGCTACAGGCATGAAGGGTCATACCTTAGAATGGGGACTAAAAGTGCCATAATTTTGAATTTTTTACAAATGCTCAATACTCATTCACTTAAGCTTACAGAAGTAAAAGTTTTTATAATTATAATTTATATTATCAATATTCAATCATCGTCTATTTCATTTAATGAAGATCTCCACTATTAACCATATAGCAGTTTTCCACTTGAAATTAGAGTCATGATATTCTTTAACTGCACCCATAAGACACTTGGTTAAAAAAGATAAGCTTAACTAAGATAAGAAATCTATATTTAAATACTTAAAAATATTTTATTAGAGATTTCAATTTAGTTTGACATTTTTATTGCTTATTCTATGATAAACATTTCTTCTTATCAGAGGGGTAAAATTACACAAGGTTTATTAACCATGTTTAGATTATTAATACACAAATTCAGTGGTCACATTTTAATCCTTACGTTTTGGATAGTATTTTTTTAAAAATTTCTATTTTAATGATGTTTTGTTCGACTTCATTTTCGACTTAAGCTGTTTCTGCGTGAGCGTGTCTACTGTACAACATGTTGTGATCCGTGTGGAATCCTTATTGACAGAGACGTCAACGGAGTCAGAAACATCCTAATAAAGTGGTTGGCTTTCTCCACCTAAACACATTAAATAGATGAGTGCGTCCATGCTTTTTTATAAAATCAATGCCATTTTAGAAATGGTACATTTTCATGAACGGCAATATTATATATATTAATATAGAGGAAACTTGGCTTTTCTTGGTTTTTCATATAGAAGAATATTATTGAAAATTTGATATTCAGGATAAAGAGCAATGTTATTTCCGTCGGTTAGCGGCGCTAATCCTTTATCTAATTGAGCCTAATAGTAATTACTTTAAAGAGTTAAAATATGATTTCATTGTGATTACGAGTAGAGGTAACTGTCTTCTTTTGGAAAGAAGTGCCGTCTAACAAATGTTTTTCTTTTGAGAACAGTTTATGCTTGACATCTATTCTTTTTTAAGAAAATCCAAGGAGGAAAAAGAAAAAGAAAAAGAAAAAGAAAAATTTTTTTCTATAGTAACTATAGCATGGATTATTATTGGTCTATTAAAATTTTTTATTCATATTATAATCATGATAAAACTATTATATATATAGTTCTGTCCTGAAGAGATTTAGAATAATATTCCAGAAGGGCTAACTAATGGCCTTTACTTTGTTTTATTAATTTTTTTGCAAAAAATATTTATCGCCCATTTCTCATTTCTCTCAAATAATAATATTTCAACATGAATGAAGAAGATTATGAAAAAAACATAACCAAGACCGTCGATGTTGAGGCTGCAGAGCTATCCTCTAATGACTTCGGTACATATGAAGAACAACATAAAGAAAAAACATGGATTGAAAAGATAAAAAATTCTTGGATTTTTAAAAGTGTGGAGGTACGTGGGATAGAACGTATACCAGAAGATGAGCAAATTGATACTTCAATATGGAATACAGCTTCCATGTGGTTTGGAGCAAATATGGTTGTTGCTACTGTTGCTATCGGCGTTCTGGGAATAACAGTTTTTGGTTTAGATTTCTGGTCAGCTTTTTTGACAATTATTTTTTTCAACCTTTTAGGATCTCAACCAGTTGCGCTATTTTCAACATTTGGGCCAGTTTTTGGTCTTCGTCAAATGGTTTTGACGAGGTTTTGGTTTGGCCGTTATGTCGCTATAGTACCGGCCATCATTAATATTGTTGCTTGCGTCGGCTGGACCGCTGTTAACACAATTGTCTCTGCTCAACTTCTTCACTCTGTAAACAACGGAGCACTCCCTCCTTGGGCTGGTGTCCTTATCATTGCTGGAATCACTTTTGGTATTTCATTTTTTGGTTATCATATAGTGCATCAATTTGAAAAATGGTCTTGGGTTCCAAACGTAATTATATTTCTTATTTTAGCTATCAGAATGGGTAAATCACATAAATTTACT